AGAGAATATTAATCTAAAAGCAAAAAAGAAACTTTAACTTCTTAAATTATTTATATTTTTTTAAAGTGAAACTTTAATACATATTTAGTTTTAGTTTTGTCTTTTATATATATATATATATCTGAGAACTTCAATTACAGTAATTTGAGAGTCCGCGTGATCGTGAGTAATTTGATACGTTAACGATCGACCTCCTCCTTCGCAAATCGAGGGTGGGATTGCAAGAGACTTGCGAAACTGGGTGTCCCATTGTTTCATTCTTATATGTCTCGTTTCCTCTTGTGACCATTCCCACCGAACATCGTGATAATTTTATCCAATCAACGTCCATTTTTGTCTTCTCCGCCGTTGCGTTCACTTGCATAAGAACATCTGGTGAAAATCCTTGAAGGATCATGCTAGGTGCTCCGAGCGCTTCTCGTTCTTCCGGAAAGCATTGATTATTTAATACTTTTTCGTATCATGTAATCTGACCACGAAATCTAAGAAATTATTGTTTTTAATATTAATGATACATTGATTTTTATTTTGACTAAAGAAAATTCTTAAAGCGTCTTCTCTAACGTTAATTAAGCAACTTCCTAGTTTTGAAAATTGAGGGATTGTTGTTTTTTAGAATTTAAACAATCGATATGTACTTCTTCGTGACTTTTGCGCTATCTTAGCGTTATAAATACCTTGAAAATATAGATATTTTGTCAAATTTTAAAATAAAAAAGTATTTAACATTTTTAGAAGAATTTTTGTTAGTTGACTTAGCAAACAAATTTTTTATTTTGATTTTGCAACTGAGAGTAAATTAGACAGCGTTTTAATCGAAAAAAGTCTGATCGTCCTTGAAACGCTTCGAATTCCTTTGGCTGAATTTCCGTCGGAATTGGAATGCCACTGCAGCGAGCGATCAGAATTTCTTAATAGTGACGATTGGTGCAGTCGGATGACTCTGTAAAAATTCACAATGAATCGCAGAAACGAGTGAAAGGTGGCAGAAAAGAAACTCAGCTATCTTTCTACAATTAATATTAAAATTAATATTAATACATAATACAAAGTTCTAGAAATTATTTGTCGCAAGTCCGCTATTTTAAAATGTGAAATAATAACATGATATATTGTAGCACAATGAAACTAAAGGTTGCTTCTGGAGGCATTCTATTTCAAAAACAGTATTACGAACGGTATTGCTATTGTCATATTGTCGTGACACGTTTTGTACGAGAAGTAGGTATCTCGTGCGACTCATCAAGAGTGTTTCACCTTTATTTTCACCGTCTCATCGCGTGAAGCTGGTCGGCTAGCTATTCGCGGAGGGAAAGAAACCGTGAAGGCCTCGTCTTGAGGCTCATACGCGCAAAATAAATGCGATTAATAGTGGCGCTACGAGATAACGGAAACGATAGGTGTCATGTGCTTCTCAAGATCTGAGTTTACAATATTGCGATAATTGTGACGATAATGATAATATAACCGATTTTCGAGGATTGAGATTAAGCAAAATAAAGGAAATCTAGAAATAAATTACATTAGTATGATAAATTATGATCAAACATAGCATCAAGGATCAGAACTGCAGGTTTGAACAGAATTCGTTCTATTTTCTAATTTTATTCTTTTAATAATGATAAATTATGAATATTTTTTCGACGGACTAAGTTAATTCTTTTTCTGGATGAGTTTTTTTTGTGCGTAAGTTAAATTTTCTTCTCAATTAGCAAGCAAAAATCGTGTTTACTTTCTGTGACGATCTTGTTTTCCTCGAAGCAGAATTTCACTTCCCCTCTTCAGAAGTCTCTTCGTGGCGGAATTCGATCGCGAAAGAGTGCGTATTACAGACTGAAGTTTCAACGGTATCGGCCATTAATTAGTCCTGCTTCGTCGAGCTTGGAAATATTCTTCTATCCATGGGAGATCAGTGCATAATGAGTAATTAGGTAACATTTTAATAGAGTGCATATGATGCCGATTTGTATTGTATAATTGACTCGTGTGGAAGGTACGATCGACAGACTGAATGTGAGACTTCTTATGTATATTCGTGAATAATAAGAGTTTACGGAGATATTTCACTTTGATAGATTGCAATCGCTAATTAAGTTTTAATGTCTGAGAAGAGTGAAATTGTCAGCTGCGCAAGTCCATAATTTCCAAGAAAACACAAATATCGTTCATTGACGTGATAGTCGAAGCGTTAAGCACGCACCGGTGACCTTCCTCGGCATGAAGCCGAGGTAAATCACGAGGTATATAATATGAAAAGATGTTATTATTGTTAATGACATTACCGTCCCTACGAGTCACGTAAGGAGAGATTCTTCCGAACGGATTGCGCTGCGTGACGCTATCGTCGAGCGATTACCACGGCTATCAACTAGAGCCCGCGATAGACGAAACCAGGTGTGTTCTCCGGGTAGAGCCTTCCTATGCGGCCTCAGAGATCGGCCAGAAACGAAGAGAGTGGGGAGTTCATATAAGATACCAGGCAAACGCCTCTCCCAGTGACCAGTCTCGACACGAAAACTCATCAGCCGAGCTTCCTCGGCTACCACAAGACGACACGGAGAAAGAGAGAGTATATTCTTCAAGTATACTCTTCAGGCATTTCGGAATATTTCATCGACTTGGGATTGACATCTCGAGTTAAAGCGATCGTATATTCTATTCGACATTCAGGATGTCGCAGCAGATCCTTCCGCTCATTCTGGTACTCCTGGTTGCGCAGGGTGAGTCTTTCCGCTTCTTCTTTTTCTGCGGCTTCTCCTTCGTTCTGATTCTTCTTTGCCTCGCCTTCTCAGCTTAAATTTTCTCTGAAGTTGTTGAAGATTAATTGAGTCGTATGGCATAAAGTAATATTTACGTAGATATTTATTTAATATTTAATTAAAATATATATATATAATTAATACATCTGAGAATTTTTAATATTTTTTTCGTGTGTTATCGATTATCTATATTTTCAATGAGTAATCTTATTAGGCTAAGTTTATCGTCTTTAGTAAATATTACAATTTTTTGTGGTGCTGGTTTATAAATAATATTTTCTTATATAGCGTTATGAACGATGATGTAAATATATGTAATGACAGATTTTTTATTTTTTATAAAAGTGAATTGTAATAATTGTCGATACTTTACTGCAATATGAACATTAATCAGTAATAACGTACTGATAAAGATATTTAATGTCTAGGTAAAATGTACATGAGCATTTAATTAAACATTTCTATCTTCTTCAGCAATAAAAATAAGCAGTGACAATTTTTTATGCTTCTATATCGTGTTGATACTTTTTATAACTAATAAAATTATTTAATGCTAACTATTAAACACTTAATTAAACAGTTCTTTTTATAAAAGTAGATTGTGATAAATTTCACATTTTTTCAATAATTTTAGAGATTTCATTAAATGCAACAAATGGCATTAGTTGATATCTGGACAATGTTATTTAATTTTTGTATACAATATAGTTTTTATGTAAACAATAATGTAGATATTGCAGCGAAGTCATTAATGACGCGAGAAATTAATAATTACAATAAAATATCGCAATATCATATGTTTCTAGAAACAAATAGCCTTTGATCTTGATTTAATCGAGCGATCGTTCGGCTTTCACTTTCGAGATCGGTACATGGTAATCTTTCTAAATAATATGAGTCGTTCGATAAAACCGAGCGAGCGAGGGGCGAGAATGAAAACGGTGAAATTTCCACGCAGCCGTCGTCGTTCGCAGTGAAACTGAAAAACCACGCGGACCGTTCTACTTTCTTTCGTGAATCCTCGCAATGATCATGAGTATCACATCGATTAAAGTGATTCTCTCGTGTCCTTCGCAAGATCGATGATGACTCACGAGAGCGACCCATTTCGTTTTCTTGCTTGACTGGCGGATTACCGTTTCATTCTAATGACACTTATTATAAACGACAAGCATCCATTTATCATTATTCTCACTTTCGCATTTTTATTACAGGTAGAAAAAATATAGGCTTTCTATCAAATTATATTTATCTACTATTTAGAAATGTTTTATATTTTATTATTATCGATGTGTAAATTACTCGATAATTTAATATCTATACTAATTATTTTTTTATTGAATAAATAAATTTTTTTATGGCAGCAAAACAAAAACTGGTCGACTAATTTTATTTGATAAAATTATTTGATTAAATTATTAGTTCTATAGTTGTTATTGAAGTTAATTAATGTTATATTCGTGAGAGCACAGAAAATTATACAATACTTATCTGATAAAAATTACTATATTAAGTTCATTAAAATGCAATAAGTTGATGCTATTCGTGACTGCAGAGAAAATTAGTTGATTGTCTCATCTAATCTCGCACGTTTAAATTACATAATTACTAATCTGATCAAAGTGGGTAGCGTCGTTGAGTTAGATAATGAGCTCAATTACAATTTTCATTGCACAATCTTGCGCGACATCAGAGGCGCAGAATCTGTAGCAAATTGTGAATCTTCTGGCCCGTAATTATTACACGCATCTCTGTAAGAACAATGGTGGCCATTCACCGGGTTTCACACATCTCGAGAACTTTCTCTCATGTGCCACGAGTGAAAATATGAAAGTAGCTCAGCCTGCAGTTCACTCTCTATCTCTCTTTTTCTCTGTCTTTCTCCATCTTTCTTTTGATTCCTCACGGTCGGTATAATTATCTATTGGACACCCTTTATAGCAGAAGTGTGCAACTTATGTGTGTGAGTTTCATTACCCACTCAAATTTCTAAGCCTGAATCTTCAACTACTTTTCTAATGTAAGAGGCGTCAGATATCTCATCTCTTATTAATCGAGAGAGCGGGATTACTTCATTTGGTATACAAACCAATTATTGTCAAATTTAGTCTTTGAACTTTATTTTTTCTTTTCATAGAAATTTTGAGGGATCAATAATTCTCGAGTTTTTGGTGATTAAAAATTGAAAAATTTTGTATTCAATTTTTTTTATTTAAAAAATTTTTGTATATATAATTTTATTTATATTTTTACATTCCATTATTCTATTATAAGTTAATCTCTCTTTTTTTTATATTCCATTAGTCTTAAATTTTTTATATTTTTATCTATCATACAATATTATTAATTTACATTATCTAACTTTGTACATTCACTATTCCGATAGAATATTCCACAAATCATAGCATCATACATCATAAATAATTTTTTATCTTAATCTTTTTTCTTCTCGCGGTTCATAAATTGTCGATATTAACAGTCTTTTGAAAATATATCATTGCGATAAGAAAACAGTTTTGCAGCGCTTATGCAAGAGATCCTACTTTCTACGGTAACATTCGGAGATATTACTTTAGCACTGATCAGCAGCCACTGTACGTAATCTTTGCGGAGAAAAATTCATTCATTAATTTTATTATCTATCAGGTGTCCGTGCCAGCTTTCCCAAGACGGTTGTAACATTGATATTTGCCGGAAGCGACGGTGTAATAGCGTTAAAAACGGTTCGTTTCGCTCGGCTTGAGTTATCGATCGGACAATAAAAAAAGTGCAAATAGGAAGGAAAGGGGAAATAGATCTTGTAAGCGCCGTTGTTGTTGCAGCGTGGCGCGCTTTTGTCGGGGAACGTTGCACTTTGCGGAGTTCGAATTAAGGTGGGGCTCCGGCTTCGCGTTCTTCGGGTTCTACCGGTCTCAAGAAGAATCGGGAAAACAAACTTTATTTATTCGCGCATTACGGAAGGCAATATTGAAAAAACCAAAAGAGAGAGCAAGAATAGAGAAGAGACTTATGACGTTTGTCTTATTGCGTGGAAATATCCGCAAATAAGTCGATTGCATTTTTCTGCGTAAACGGAAGTTTATCTAGAAATTCTGGAAACATGAGATATTCGGCGATATTTAAGAAAAATATGAAATGCATATTTAACTTTAAGCGAGAATTTTTTTAATTGGAATGCTTATACTTTTGATCTTTTTGTAAATCACTAATGAGCCTGATCTACCGTATTTTGTGATAAATCGATTCCTCGTAAATTCAAACAAGGTACTTCCTGAATCATCATTCATTCCGTGTTTTGCGCGAAGCGTGAAATCCTTGCGAGGAGTAAAACGAAGCCGCAGGCGCCGGGCCGCTCCTGTTTTCAGCGGTAAGGAGTAACGGCCGCCAAGCCGTTGCGACTCTGACTATTTACTCTTTACAAGGAGTCGTAAAAGAAGGGAAAGTAACCCGGTGCTACGCGTTAACTAAGCGTCTCGCTTGCGCAATGCACCACGACGACATCCCAGGGATGTCTCCACCTATTCGCGACACCGTGACGAGCGCGCGCATAAATCGATTAATCTCGCCGGTCTCGTGAAACTAATCGGATTTATTGTCCTCGCGCTTTGAGCGCGAGATCGTCCTCACGGGTGGTCATGGCTCTTTATTACAGACTCTTGACAGCATTTGCATAATTCCCGATGAAGGATAATTCCCGGTAATCGTATCCATGAATGGACGTGTCGAAGTCACGAACAATGATAATGAGAATTTTGAACTGTTTATTTAGCTAATATAAAAATTAAAGTAGTTTCTGAATTATAACATATTTATAATATTTAATATAGAAGAACATTAGGACAATTGCAAATTTTAAGTTTATTTAGAAATGAAAGTTATTGCTTGGATCAAAAATTCGAAAATTAAATTCATTTTAATTTCAAGTTTCACAGAATAAAAAATACACATTTTTCTTGTAAAATTTTCTTAAGTTTGATTTTAGAAACTTGAATTTTAGGGTTTTAGAGCTTCAAAAGTCTAAAATTGCAGATAATTTATGATTTGAAATTCTAAATAAAATAGGAAAAGAATTTCTTACGGTTACGATTCGTTGTGTGCTACATTTATCGATTCTTCATATTATTACGATTTTCTCATTGATAATTAAGGCCACGGTTTACGCAATCCGCGCCGGTGGAAATTCGCAATCTCTAGACGTTCTTTCTCAGACAGGTAAAGCTCGCTTCCCCACGAGATTATCCATATCGTGAGATCGATCGTGCTTCACTTTCCTTCCCTTATCCGCTCGGACCAGTTAGCCAACAGCATGCAATTTTTCTGCGACTAAAGACATACAAAAGCATGTTTATAGTATGTAAACGTCACGATCAGCGAAGCTATTACCATCGAGATTGGCATGTTGTTTAATAGATTCCATTTTGCCATTATCTATACTTAAAATAATGTCGAAAAAATTTACATAAAGATTTTTAAATATTTAAAAAAATTTGTATTCTTAAATATATTTTGTAAACATTATAATATCATAAATTATTGATAAAGCAAAATATGTAAATAAAGGATTTAAAACTAATATTCTTAGAAATTCATTACGAAGAGATTTTTAAAGGTAGAATCAATTTCTCATGTCTCAGAAAACATCGAGAGATAGAACTTGTCGAAGATTCCGATTGGTCAGTAAAGGTCTTTTATTTTCATCTCAGTCTTGATCAACAGATTCTGTAGAGAAAGATTGAGGGAGAGTGAGGGCTTCATTCCATTCTGAAATTGAATCTTGTAAGGGTGAATAGGCAGAATAATGCAGCTTGAAAATAAAAGGAAAAGCGAAAGGAATGAGAAATAAGACTGACCCTTTTGATGAATGATCGATCAAGTTGAGACGAAAGGAATTTATATATCTTGTTTTATAAAATAAAATCAATAGCTTTTTCGTTTGCATTTGCAATTAATCATGAATTTTTAGGATAAAATATTAACTTAATATTCCATTAAAAAGTTGATGAAAATTAACATTAAAGTTGAAGAAAATTATAATAGCAAATTGAAAGAATAATTCTTCCAGCTGAAATTGAGACAGAGAGTAAGAATATTATTAGGTGGTTTGATTGATCAATCGAATCTTTCATACGCTTGAGGGGGATTAAAGGGGTTCCGACGGATCAGTGAGGTGGAGCAGGGGTGTGTAGCAGGGTTGCCCCCGAAGGTTGCAAGTCAAGGCTGGGCACTTTCACTCGAGAACTATCTTGGGAGCGCGCCTCATACCGGCTTCCCACCTTATTCTACTATTTGCTTTCCTGGCGAATGCGAGCCGTCGGATCATTAGCGAAACGATCAGGTATTATGGTAAACTGGCATCGATAATGAATGCATCTCCAATATGATACCCGAACGAAAGTGTAATGGTTTTCTTAACCTATCATTTGGTCAAACTTCGCCCATAGCAGTGCTCAGGAATTTCAGGTAGTCGAATACTTTGCTCAAGCTCGAACGACAAACATTCCAGATCTCTTAAGCTGAAAATATGAATAGTTCAAAGTAATTTCCGAAAGTTCGGAAATTCACATTTATGTAAAGTTAGGTGAAAGCAAAAAGTCTACTTTCAGTGCATAAAACAAAATAATAAAATAGTTTATTTTATATTCTTGCAATAGAAACATTCTAAAATATTCTGAATGATAATGTTTTGAAAGGTGTTTAATATCGACTTTTCACTTTCGACGTGGATGTCCTTGTGCAAGGAATCGCACATAATTTTTTGCGAAGCGGCGAAAGAACACATTTCGTCGTCAGGAATACATTTCGCGTGATTACGTACGTCCATACATCTATCACGCGGAAGAAGGATATACGTTTCAGGAATTTCGCATTAATTAGCCAGACGATATCCGTGAGCGGCAAATTAATTCCATGTGCGCAAGGATGGCACCGTTTACGTCATTTGCGAATTGATTTGTCAGATTTAGATTGATCACGGCTCCGAAACTGTACGTGGCCAGAATCAATAGGCATATCCTTGATATTTGCGGCGCCACTCATGTCCTTCGACAAGAACTCACACAGGTGGAATCTATGATTTCGATACGTCGATATGTGCACTTTGATATTTCGTAATCGCCGCTTATTAAGCGAAGGAACGAAAGCGAAAGAAAAGGATAATTAGCACAAATCGGGAGAGATTAATGACGCGATAAATTGGCAAATAAATATGGAAGTTTCCGTTAATGAATTTCCAGGTAATTTGCGTTGCAGTTCGGTTAATGTCCGAGGAAGCGAATAATAGAGGATAATTTCTTCGTAGGTGGGTTAATTATTGCTCTTTTTTATGACTCAATTAAATGATGCAACTTATATTTAGAAATTCGTATATAAGAAAAATAGATATTAAGTATTCCTTGATTCTTCCGAACAATCGGACTTCCTTGCTACGACTCCAAATACAATCCAAGTGAAATCCCATGCAACCAGAAGAACGTCAAGATATCCTATTCCTCAAGAAAGAATTCCATCCTAGAAGAAAGATAAGATCGACGAAAAAGGACGAGAATTCACGCTTCTACGCTTACAGGCTCGCTGGGCCAGAAGCAGGAGGATCCATGTCAGACGAAGTCACGAGTGGTGGGTGATATCGAGTACTGCGATCGCTACTGGGAATGCGTGAACGGCCGCCCGGAACTGTTCGACTGCCCGAACGGTCTCGTGTTCGCCGGCAAGCACCGCGGCGTCACCGAGGGCTGCGATTATCCTTGGCGGGCGAACTATTGCGACGGTAAACGCCAGGCGAACCCGCCGATCTCGACCGAGCACTGCGACTGGCTGTACGGGATCTTCGGCCACGAGACTTCCTGCACCAGGTACTGGACTTGCTGGAACGGCACCGCCACCGAGCAGCTCTGCATAGGCGGTCTGCTTTACAACGAGAGGGCCAGATCCTGCGACTGGCCTGAAAACGTCGAAGGATGCCAGAAGCATCGTAAGTACGGTCGAGAGATCGAGAGGATTTTATCAACAAGTTATTGGAATTTAGATTCGACACATCTGAGATAAAAGAGGATTATTATTCTTTATAAAAAAAAATAATTAAATTTATAGTCACAAATTCTTTGGAAGTTCTGGAACGCAATTTTTGCGAATTTCTCATCGTGGACTCAGTTGGATTCTCTCGTCTTTTCATTTAGCTTTGTCACGAAAATCAATTGCATTCCGATCGAAGAACCTCTAAGTCGTGATTTTAGGCGGTTTTAATCCAAGAGACACAGCTTGATTCTATCATTTTCACTTTTGAAAGTGAGCGAGCGGGATGCGCGCGATACGTTTCCTCGTGTCAGCTCTTCAGTCCCTTCCAGAAGTCAGTGCCCTGAGGAAAAAGGGGCGAGGCACTTAATTAGCATTCGAAGTGAATTCTCGTCGCGCCTTTCTCCCTCTTCGCCCGCGGGACCAGATGAAACGCGTTTTATTATTAATTCGCGTCGCGCCGCCTCTCTGAATGTCAAACGTCGACCGATGCATCGATTGCTATGAGATCGTATCTTTTTTTTCAAGGCTAAAATTTGATCAAAGACATTTTAAAAATAATTTTCGAATGCTGAATATTTCTCACAATATTTTAATATAAATTTTTAGAAGAAAAAATCGGGAAGAATTAACTTGAACATTTATCTCGGATTAATTTCTTTTTTATTTTAGAATGCTTTATTTAAACACTGATAAGATATGTAATTCACTGAATGGTTTCTCGAAATTGAGAAATGTTTAGATTAACGATAATAGCTTCCATTTATTCGCAAAAAAAGAAACATTTACGAATGTAGATTCGAGCGTGCACTCTGCATAATTAATTTTCAAGTCGCTATATCGTTAATGGACCCAACTCGAACGAAAGTTTTTAACTTTCACCGAGTCGAATATAGCATCAATTTATAACGAAGTTAAGTAATCGAAACTTCATCGAGAACGATCGATCACAATTTGCAGTAAATTAACTCGGAGGAGTATCTTTCTCGAATATTTTATTTCTTTTCACGGAGAATACTCTCTTTTTATTTCAAATCTTAAATAAGATATTATCGCGATCAAGTTTGAATAAAAATTAATACAATCTTGCACATCTCGGTGGTGTTTTCTCGAGTTAGAAGGCTTCGGGCGCGCATGTTCTGTTAGGCTAAGACGTAGCGTGCTTGCAGCTCTCTGTAACGACGACGCCAACGGCAACGTGCCTCTGGGCAAGTCATGCAACCGCTATTGGCAGTGTCAGGGTGGTTACCCGCGGCTGCAGCGTTGCCCGGCCATGTTGGTGTTCGACAGGCGATCATTAAGATGCGTAGTGCCGCCGACGGAAGATTGCGACGTCCCTACGACGCCGCCGCCCACTGAGGGCGAGTTGTCCGAGGGTCGCAATGAACAGCAGGATCCTGAAGAAGAGAACCTGCCGCCCGGTGTGCCGCCTTTGCCCGCAGGCGCGCTGCCGATCGCCCTGCGACCACGCGCTAGAAATTAAAGCGGCAACAGGTCCTATCCAGCTTGGAAGGACGAAGGAAGCAGCAGAAGACCCTTCGACAAGCGAGGCCCCGAAGATCGAGCTTGTCGATCGGTTCGGAGAACTCGAGACGTTCTCTCGTCGAGTCTTCTTTCCAGATTCCCGCGTGATTTTATAATTCTATAATTCTAGAACTCGTAGGATCGAGAATACGAGATTTTTAGTCCTAGATCTCCATGTTTCCGAATTATTCTGAAGAGTATTATTAAGAGAATTATTCTGCCAGAGTAGAGTTGGTCCCGTGTTTCTTCGAGGATGTCGAGAAAGTTCTTGTTTGTTGTGAGTAAAATTGTTCGATCTTTATCGCGAAGATTTAATTTTCGATTATGAATTGAAGTGAAAGTTTGAATATGATAATTGTTATGATTACATGGTTCTTTATCTAATTAAACATTTATTATTTTAATTATTATGGATGAGATATAAGCATAAGTGAAATGACTTAACTCTTGAGAATCGGAATGAAATTTAGCCGGCATGAAAAAGTAAAAGTTCTTAAAAAACTAGAAAGATTATAATCAGAGGTAATTAAATAAGAAACAAAGTATAAATTGCAAAAAAATTCAACGAAATATGACCAATGAATTATAATTTTTCAAGAAATAATGTTAGAAAGAATGAAAAACTGTGAAATATTTCCAAGGACCGAGACTCGTCGACACCGATCGATTCATCTTTGACCGATCGAGTTCTCCTTCTCTTCTTCCTGAGAACGGAGACTCATATTATTGATTACTAATAATGTTAACTAGGAACATCTCGTTTTTCGGTCCTAAGACCACCATCTGCCTCTGTTTCATTTGGTCGAGATGTAAATATTTTTCCCCGTCCCCTCACTTCTCTCTCTCGTTCTCGTAATCGTAAGACTCGTATCATGTGTATGTAGATCGATCGAAATAAACTGTACGTTGTATATTTTTTATACGCATGTTCAGATTTTATACAATGCTGCTTCGGCTGTACATTGTTACTCTATTTATCATAAATACATTATATGTATTACATATCGTATTATATACACTATATGTACTACATATCGTACTCGCTCTTCACGCACTGTACATGCAATTAGTCCCCCTTTAAACGTTTATCATTAACAATAATTTATGTTTGATACGCAATGTGGAACAGAAATATACTTTTTTTAGTTCTCCTTATTTTAATTAATTTCTTTTAGTCATTTTCTGCTTTAACACATTGTTGACGGTATACTGTGAAATGGATCTTGCCTCAGTTTCCGCACATTTTTGGAAAATATGTCAAATATGCATGCACGTATTCAAAATAATGTAAAGAAAACGTTTAGAAAATGCAAGACGCCGATTCACGTCTCCCGTCAACAATATGTTAAAAGTGTATGCCTAATTAATATTACGTTATAATTTATATCTGTATTGTTTTAATTTTTATGAAATCAATTTTTACAATCAATTTTATTCTGTAATTCAATTTTTTACGATGCACTGTAGACGATACTGTGGACTTAATTTTTAGCTATACACAATTTCAAGTTAATATTATTATACTTTTTTGCCACGATTTATTCCATTAATTTTATCAAACAATGGTTCTTCATTGTTTGATGTTCGTTGATTGGTTTCTCTTGTATGTTGATTTAAAGTATCGAGTGGTTGCTAGGAATACACTTTCATGTTTAAATACCGTTGGAGCTGAAAAGTAAATATAACTTTGATTTATATTTTCTTATTAAACTAAATTGAGTTAGCATTTAATATTTAAATATTTCTCGTTTTTACGAACAATTTTCTTAGATTGGATATACAAATTTCTTTGCATTACTTAAAGTTGATCAAGACATTTAGAAAATTTATAGTAAAACTTATAATTTTTTAAATACAAAATATACATACCAGTGAGGAACTTCTTCTGGATCCAAGCAAGTCAGACTTACGGAATCGAACAGTTTTCCATCTCCGCAAGTAAGAAGTCGCGGGTGTCCGTCCACACAGGTGATCAACCTGCCGCAATCACCTGGCACGGGGAATCTAAAAATTGCGTTATTAATGAACATTTCTCATTTCTAGGTATAATTTTTTTTCTTAAATTTTTAAAGTGCAATAAAATAACCATTTTTATTGTTCAAATATGTAAATTAAGCTTTTTAAATCACACTGTATCACACACAAAAATTTAAGAAAAGAATTTATATTTAGAAAAATAAGAAAGATAACAGCAAACCGTAAAAGAACTTTTCTATCCTTTTCTATTGTAAAATTTGTTTACTGCTCGTGGAACATTCTCCATAATTTACGGAGAAAGAGCGACGCGTTTATTAACGTGGTAGGAAATTGAATATTCGAATAAAACACGCGTGTCGGCATTTGTTTCGTATGTTTTTCTCTCTTTCTCTTTCTCCGAGTCTTTCTCGGAAGGCGACCGGTTCTTAAATCAAAGTACTACGCATAAACGATCTGACATTTAACGGCGTTGACTTCTTTTGCTCTTACAATCGGCGGCGGCATACAATATTTCTTCCTCTGAATCTTCATGAAAATAATAAAAGAAAGAAAGGAAGATTGAGATTTTATTGCGCCTCGTGGTCGTATGATAAAATAATATGCGCACACCTCAATAAATGCGACCGGAAATTCACACGAATGTGTGAATCGCGTGAAACCTGATGACGCAATCAAATGTATATCAAAATTTAGATTACAGATACCTGGTGAAACAATAAAACAACATAAAATTCATTAAGATATTGAAATCTGAATTGAAATAAAGTTATTGAAATATTAGATAAGCGAGATTGAAATTAATCATCAACAATGAGTACAATCAGAGTTGCAATTCTGAACAAGTAAGAAAGAAACAAGTTGAAAGAACAAGTTGAAAGAAAATAAATAATTAGTTATCGATTGAGAAAAAGAAATATAAGAATAAAATTTTTCGAAAATAAAAGTGAAGAATGGAAGCAAAAGTTCAAATACGTCGCCCGCCGAGAGTGCATTAATCCCCATTGCCAGTTTTATTTTTATGTCGACTCTTATTACGTATGATTTCTCGGAAGAGTGTTTTGTATAACAGTACGTAACGTGTATGCCTTTACCTCGGGTAGGGCCAGAATTTGGCAGCGGGGCTGTTGTGGGGCAGCTTGTGAGGGCACTTGAAACCTACTATAGACTCAGGGTTGCATAAGGGGATGAGTTCGTCCGGCCAGACGCACGTGTGGGTTTTGGCGTTGTAGACGAGACCGGGGTCGCAGTGGGCCTGATGCGGCTCACCGTAGATGCACTTGATGTAACTGGTGCTGCAAGCGTCACTATCAGGGTACATGCCGAACTGATACTCGCAGCCCGGGCTGCTGATAGGCGTGTCTGTAAAAAAATCATTGATACGTCATTTTTATCTGAACAGATTAAATATATCGCTTGACAAGCGAAAGAAATGTTGCAAAAAAGTTTTTGACATATTAAATTAGCAATATTCTTGAAAAAATTTTTGCTTATATATCTAAAGTACTGTAAATCTATACCTCTTTTTGTATATATTATGCGGAAAAACATTTTTTAAAAATATTTTTTTCTGCGCGTGTAATAGAACAAAATGGATTTACAGGCAATTATCTTCTGATAAAATAAGATACGTAAAACTAAATTGGAAACTGGAAAGTCATGCAACAGCGTTGAAACGTCAAACCAGTTGAGATACCAAGCGATTTAAAGAGATCCACTTGAAATTATAATGATTGGCGTTAACGTGACCCACATAAAGCGCTGCCAAAATCGCTCGCACAACTTTTACTTTCACAATAATGTTTCTTTTGCATGACTGATACACATGAATTTTGCTTTTATATAAATCACATGATTTCGCGAAAAAATAATAGCATAAATAATAATTTACAATGTATAATTAACAATGCAATATTACAACAACATATTAACTTCATTCTTAGTTTATTTAATTGTCATATTTTCTTTTTATGTTATAAATTATATCCTCCTCGTACCGTTTTTTCAAATAGCACTTTAGTAACGTCATTAATTTTGCTTTTAAATAAAGTGGATAAATATTAAAGAAAAGAATTTATAACAAACATTGTACACGGCTCGAATATCGAGATTGAGCGATACTTGCGTGATACTTACAATCGGCCTTACGATTGCCGCACTGGACGGCCCAATTATAATTGCAGTGATTATGGACGGCGCCGTGTCCGTCAAACAGAAGTCCGTTCTCGCAGTACTCGAAGCTTAAGGTTCCGTTTGTGCACAAGAAGAAGGCCCCGCAGTCTTCGGGATGGGGATAAGCGTGGACTCCGTAAGGGTTGGGACATGACGGAGCACCAAGTAGGGTTGCACCGTTAGCTGTAGCAAAAAAAGAAAATTTACGCGTGATATAGAAACAAACATTAATGTACAACATTAAATTGCGATTATTCTACAATATTATATTTGGATAGGAAAGATAGAAAGATATTGGAAGTTAGAATTGAAATATAAATGTAGACAATCAATAAAGTATATAAAATTATTATCAATTTAAAAAGTTACGTATTGCGATACTATCTTGTTACGTGAATGATGATAAAAATCCATATCGATGAAAAGCGAAATTCTGGTCAAGTCGACTAAGTAAGTAGTTTCAATTCGAAAATGACTTGATTCGCATGACAGCCTCGCAATGCTGGCTCTCTTTTTTCGCATGCGTTCCGATAGTCAGGCAGAGTGTAACGAACGCTAGGCTTGTCTCCTTATAAATACAGAAATGTGAAAATGATGCGGAAGCATAGAGTTTGCTATAATCATATACAATTTATAAAAAATTTAGACTTTAGATTAGATTTTTTAGTAAAAAATAAATTCTACACAAATAAATCGAAATATACAAATATTTTCTCAAAAAAGTTAAGGAAATGTGTAAATAAAATATTTCTTTTCTCAATAAAAAGTTTTGCTATCAAAAGGAATTGACAAAAGATCGTTTGGCTCGCGATTTATGACCGCGTCGCAGTTTTATTACATTTTCCATCGATCTCGAAATGTCCGCCATTATGTCACTCGCGCGCGTCTTAACATATGGTGTATAGATAGTGAAAGCCTCGCGACGGGATTCACGGGGAAGAAAAAAAAAAAGCTTTCACGCCTGCGGAGAGGCAGTCCTCGGTGCGCAGAGGAAGAAGAGAAGCGCATCCCGAGGCGGAGATGCACGCACGAAACGTACATCCTCGCGTATAGAAGTGAGGTGAAGGGTAGCCACGTGGGTGACGATGATGATGACGATGATGACGATGATGATGATGATGTTGGCGGTGGTGATGATGGTGGTGGTGGACTTACCACGTGCCAGGACTGCCAGGAGCAGCAGCAGAGTCACTTTTTTCGGATAGCTCATCTTTCTGGCACTCTCCTCGGCTTGACTACTGATTCTGACTACTGACGGCGATATTGTCGATTGGCGCGCACTTAGGTGTCGGCCTCGGTGCACTTCGGGACAGTCTCCATCTCCCTTCACTCTCTTCATCGAGGCTTTGCCGAACCCCACCAGGATCCCCCTGGTTCGCCGTTGGTTTGCGTACGTGTTCGGCCTGTCGACCAGCGGCGCCGAATGTGACGGATTGTCTGAAAACCGTCGTTGAATCCTTTGACAGCGTACCGTGAGATGTCGATTTGGAGAAAAGAAGAAATCTCAGTCGAGTGAATCGTGAAGATCGTTGGAAAAGTTGAAAAGAGGACTTAAATATACAAAAATGTTGCAAATTAGAATAATGAGTGGAAAAAATTGATTCCACTGAATTCAATTGATTCAATTGAAGAATAAAAGATGGAAGAAAGATTTTTTCCGTTGTTTAAGACATTTTTTTAAGATGTCATGTTAGTAATTTTATTCTCTTTCGAATCAATTTTACGAAATTAAAATCAAGAATCTACATTATTGCCCAGAAATGCATCGATTATGTAAGAAGATATAATGTAAGAAGATGTAATGTAAGAAGAAATCCAAGAAATAATATTTGAATACAATGATCCAATTCAGATTGCAATCATCGTACGAAAGACTACAGAGATTCTATTCTTAAGAAACTGTATAAATATTTTGCATACATCTTGCACAATGGAAATCATTAGTATAAGGAATATTTTTTTCAAAGGAACATTCGAGAGACGTGTTTCGTGATCCATCATTGTTTCCAATCATCCTAATCTCTCGCGGCATCGCGATTTATCGTGGGAGAACGCATCGCATATGAATAGCTGACGTTAGCTTTAATGCCATAACGCGATTCTTTCGCGCCTCTCGAAATGTCTAAAGATACAAGTCTCTGACATGTACGCTCTGCATTCAACTATGTTACACAAGCACACTCGTCATTTTTCCGCATACTTAATAGCGCATAACATTTCAGTACTCTCGGTGAACGGCTGCAAATGTTCGCGTATTTTTTGACACTCCGCGTCTAACAAATCTAAAAATTCGAAGAAATGTCTTTACAATCCGACAGTAAACGTACTTGAGAGATATTGCTCATTTAATAACCATATCGTTAATTAGATACCACTAGAAATTTGTGAAACCTAATGAGGTTTTAACAATTAACTATGAAGATTCGTTTTAGAATCGAGGCCGACACAATTGTTATCATTATTTTTATTACAGAAATTATTTTAATTGTGTAGAAAGTATGTTTATTCTACTTTTTTCAAGTTATAATTTTCCTAGAACATATTTTATGTCATTAAAAGAAAAGCGAGTTTCTCACGGAAATCGGAATATGATAATTCAGCAAGGACATACGGCGAGTTTAAACGGTTAATGCCAAGGCGCAATCCTTCTTCCGCGACGTCACTGAACGTAATGTAATTACGCATTTCTAAGTACGTTGTAACACATGTAATTGCATACTGAAATATGCGTAAACATAGATAAACGTATCTTCCATTAGCGTGATCTCTCGGCGCACGCCGATGAGGCCTCCGGGATCTCGCTTTAACTGGTCTTACGCAAGACCCATCACCATCGCCGGTCTGCGAGAGGAGGGATCAGATTGGCGGATAGTGAAAGCAGCCGAGGCAAACCGGACAAGATAGTCCGGTCGATAGATCGATCAGACGAAGTGAATATGTCGCGATGATGACGATCAATGACTTTGGCGGCAATTAATTTTAGACTTTAGCGACTTTCTATAAACAAATTGTCCAAGTATATAATGTTATACAATCAAAAAAATATCAGATAAATAATATGGATATATACTTTATTTTATTTTAATTTATGACATATAATATCTTGCTTTATTTATTGGTACTTGAACGGCAGACAACTATTAGACGAGAAAAATAATATTTTTTTCTATTTTGTTTACAGAGTGTTATACACTGTTTGTGTAATTTTATTTTTTTTATATTTTACTTTTTTATTCTATCTTATAAAAGTATTAGAAATAGACAATTCAAATTTTGTTTCGGCAGGTTTATTACTTCACAAAATATAAATTAGTGGTTGAGAAGTATTTCGAATACCGCGCGTTACATAAAGAGAAAGGTTGTTATTAGGGAAATGAAGAGAAATTGTCTACTATGGAAACAGAGTATTTTGTTCATTGTGTATCATCAAGCATTGAATAGCTTATCTTCTTATTTTTCGGCATTTGAAAATATCGGTGAAGATATAATATTTCAAATTTTTTAAATGTATGAGTTAACTAATTTTCACGCTGACATTTGGTTTATCGAAGTGAAATCTTCGCAGGTGCGATTTCGCGAGCATCTCTCGCAATGCATTTCAGAGCATAGTAAGGGAAAGAGATCTTGGCAGAACCAGATAAATAAATTTTTATTAACACTATACATATCTTAACATTGATATAGAGTACCTCAGAATTATTCTTATATAGTCACGGGCGCTAGAAGAATTTTACGTTTAATTATTAACAATTAGGGATAAAAAGACATTCCTACTTTGTTAACAATGCGATATTGCGTTAAGCAAATTTTTATTTGTTTATAATAGGTACTTATAATAATTTAATATTGATTAAAAAAACTTTGAATAATTTTATCAAATTTTTGTTAAGATGTGAAATTGATTTCAGATTTGCTGAAATATCAGAATGCATATAAATAGTAGATGTAATAATTTTTCTTACAATATTAGTTGAAAATGATGTTGTCTAAAGCATTCAAAGTGAAAGACTTAATTCCTTATTGAAAGGTAATAAATCATTTCATTTCTTGTTATTTAAATGCTTCAGGTAAATATGTGTGGAATTGCAGGTGAATATGTGCGTACACATGCCTTTACAAAATTCCATTTTGCATATAATCGATAATTACATAAAATTAGACCGGTTCGAGCGGAATTAGAAGTTGATATAGTAAGTTTTCTTTTCGCAGATTAACGACTCGCATCGATGGCGTTGTTACTGATTTTTCGAATGCATATTTATTTACGTAAAAGGAGAAAGGGGTAGTAATTGTCGCGGGGAGGGCAAAAGCGCGATCGCTTTCGCAAAGGCCACGCAGTGGCTTTTATGTAAGTTTGCATATCACACGCGTTTATTGTTCTTATGAATAAAAAGATGAACATTATAAACGTAGCTGCGGCTAACTCTGGCACTTGCGGTCCTGCAGCTCAGTTCTTGCCCTTATAATAGTCCTCACTGAAACATTTAATCTCATTCATAAGTGTAATTTAGCGAAAGAATTAGTCTAATTAAAAAGATTTAGTATTCGAAAGAAATGCTGTTGTATTACGAGACTAATTAAGAAGCAGTTAACGAGAATTATAAAATAATATACGAATAATTAAGGACAAATTATATTTATTAGAAAATCAGTCGTTAAAATTAAAATCGCAAGAAAGGAAGAAAATTTATATAAAGTTTTTACAAAATTTTATCAATCCACAAAGAAAAAGAAAAAAGACACTCACCATCCTTGAACTAATTCCGGCTCGGTACACCTGAAACTTTCCTCATTGTACACGGTACCGGGATCGCATTGGCCCTTCTGTGGCACCACACCGTTTTTGCAGATGTAGAATTTGGCGCAATCTTCGGGATGCGGGTACGTGGGATGCGGTAGGATTCTGCCGGACGGACCGGCGACGTCGCCGTCCGGACAGACGAAGCCGTCGTCCAGAATGTCGCGTTTCAAGTTTTCGCATAGGCGAGTGGCGTCCACCGCCCAGACGCAGCCCGACATTTTAGGTTCATAGATTAGTCCGGGTGGGCAGGGTACCATTTGCGCTATCCCGTCTATGCAATTGACGAAGCGGTCGCACGCGTTCGGGTCCTCGTGGCTGAAAATGCCGTTCGCTCGCGGGCAGCCTTTGCTAGGATGCGGCTCCTCTGTTCGTTTACAGCATAATTAATTATGTGTCAATTACTTGCAAATAATTACTTATTAATGTGTGCTGATTGAATTACAAATTGGTCATTTATTTAAAAGATTCTACAATTTATATAGCTTTTATCTTTTTCTTATCTTATAAGATTTCATAAGACGTCTTTTTTAGAACGTCTTTAAGACGTTTTCTTAAGACGTCTTTAAGACGGCTTTCTAAAATTTGAAAAATATTTGATTAATTTCTTATAAACATTCTTTTCCTTCAAGAATTGTATTACATAATTATTATATCATAATATGTGACTATATGATTATATTTTGTCATTAATCATATAACATGTTGCAGATTCGATACGATCAAAATACATTCGAATTCGAGAAAGAATTCCTCGAGATTGTTCTTTGTTAAAAAACCGGTTCACCCCGAGTTCTATTTTCGCGACACTGTCTAACCGGCTGTTTTTCTGGTATGTTAAGTTGCGAACTCATGAATAAGAAAGATCTCTAATCTATCTGTGGAGTCTTGGCTTTTTAGTCGTACATTGAATATAATTAAAAGAAAATCAGTTACTTTTCCATGTCGAATAGAAAATCTGCCAAAGCTTGAAATTCTTGGCTCTTAAATAAAATTAAATATTTTTTTTATAAAATATTGAACTTTTTCACCTATAAAAACAGTTTAATTAGAATTACAGAATCTAATAGGTCGAAACTTACGTAAAAGAGTGCGATCGCCGCAAGGCACGTTCGCCGGTATATCGCAAAACTCCTTCTTGGGATTATCATCCCTGAAAACGAGTCCGTCCTTGCAGAGCCTTTCCTCAGGCTGGTCGTCTACGCAAGCGTAGTAAAGATCACATTGTTCCAGGTCGGGAAAGAAACCCTTGGGCTCGGGGCATCGAAATTGCGCCCCGCTCAAAGTTACCAAGGCCATTAACGAAAGAAAAATCGCGCGCTTTTCCGGTCTCGACATCCTGAACGAAAATCTCGAAGAAATTCTTTTTCAAGTCTTTGTCTTAAAGTTTCTTTTTGAAGAAGCTTATTTTTCTTCTCTTTGTTTCCTTTTCCGCTTTTATCCTTCTCTTCGTCTTCGTCGGCAGCAGCGTGTCGCGACGCTGGTAATATGTGACTGCGGATCCGAAATGGGTCCTGTTTCGCTCGGCAGTCTCGCCACCACCTTGGCGGGTCCTTGTTGCTGCACATTTCCCGACCCTCTCTCCTTCTCTGGTTCGCCCCTCTTTCGCCGAAAGTCCTCTCTCTCTCTCTCTCTCTTTTGATCAGGCCGCGATCTCGCTGCTCCCTTTTCTCCCGGCATAAGTGCATTCTAATGGGTGCACTGGCGCGGATTTTATTGCACTGAGCTATTATCGGCGCGCAGAGAAATACAAAGATTCTAAACACTTCCGGGTGCCGGTGGCGCGACGGGTTATTGCTGCTACCACTGTTTCGCGATTTGCATTTCCTCATTTCGCATTTTTGTCAACTACGCGCGTTACAAATCCGGTTACAGTATTAATCTCAAGGTTTCGATCAATTCTAGATCGAATTGATATACTTTCGAAAGCGGAACGAGAGAAATTGTTTTGCAAATTCAGAAAAAATTATCTGGTTTTTTAAGTCAATAGAGCTATTACATGCCAATTATCTAAATTTATCTGTTTGCATTTGCATTATTAAGAGCAAGACTGATCTGCTAATAGAAGTAAATGATCTTGTGCAGAAGTAAATATCTATTTATTTATTTTAATTGAAGCATCAATTACGCTCTAATTATCTAAAGTTTTTTCTCTTCTTACATTTTTTTGATCAAGAGATATGATCTCATAAATATAGATGTAATTAACATCGATAGATGACATTGAAACCGTTTAATTTGACAATGGCATCAAAATGTTCTGTTAATGTGATAAAATTTAATTAAAATTACATGTATGAAAGAGTAAAAACATCGCAATTTGCAGAATTCAATATTATCAATTTAAAATCCATATTCAATGTAGATTTAATTATCAAAAAATCTTTAGCAAGTGACATTTATGCAATAACGATCGCGAATTGGAAAGTTTAATGGAAGAATACCGCGTATAACAACTAAATTTATTAGACATGCGAGAGAAATAAATTAATCTTTCGCTGGGAAAGAGCAGTGGAATTTTTTTAACCAGATTAAATACTCGAATTTATGTCAATCAATTTTATATATTAAATTTTTTTCTGTACATGTATTTTTTCTCCATTATGTATTTCAAAACAAGATTCAAGTCTTTTGTTCCATTCCTTGCTTTGTCACCCTCTTTCAAGCGCTGTTTTTAGACACCGTCATTGACCAATATCTGGGAAAGCAGAGCGAGTGAGCGCGAGATATATCTCTCACTCGCTACTAATCGCGGTATGAAAAAAGAAAGAGACAGAGAGACAGAGAGCAAATTGCAAAACGAGAAACAAGAGGGCAATTCGGGAGAAAGTGATAGTCAACCGTTCTCGTAGCTTTCAAGGCCTTTACACGTTCTTCGAGTGCCGTTTGAGAATTTATCAATGACAAAGTTTTGTTAATTTTTTTACATTTATTAAAATTACGTAATTAATGATACTGTTAATTAATTCTAATAATTTTGAAAATAATATCTTTCTGTCTCTTTTCTCTTTTTTTTATATTTATTATTTAATTCTTTTAATTTGAAAGACAGTTAAGGTAATTATTATCACAAAGTTGAATACTTTTTACTATTTCGTAATTAAAAATTATTTTGATCAATTATATTAATTTAACAATATTTTTCTGCAAAAAAGCATTTTAATTGTGTTGCTTCAGTCGGAATATTGGAAAAAAGGAAACAGGACTTAGCGTAGAATAAACAAATATGAAGTAAAAATAAAATGTATTCCAAGGCATTCAAAAAGCTAAACACACACAGGGGATTACATGCTGAACAAAGTGAGCGACACGTGATTAAAATGAGGATGGGGCGTCCCGATGCGGGACAGATGAGCGCTGACAATTTCCTTACGGTTTCTTGTCGTCGTCCTTGTACCAGTCCTCGCTGCAAGGTGAACAAGAATTACAGACTTCCTCGAAATGTTTCATATTCAAAGATCGACATTTAAAAAGTTTTGCGACACGAATAAAAGTGAGTGTCAAGTCGATTTTAAGTTATTTGAAAAAAAACTACTTATTATGTGAAGATGCAATAATATGATAATATAGCAAAAAACTCGTACCATCCAGGAACGTTTTCGGGTGCGTCACACCTTTGCTGCTCCTCGTTATAAACGGTGCCTTCGCTGCAGCCCTGCTCGCGTGGCGTCACTCCATTCAGGCACACGTAGAACTTCTGACAATCTTCGGGATGCGCGAATTTGGGATGATCGACTAGCATGCCTCTGCTGTCCACTTGGCCCTCACTCGGGCACTCGAAGCCGTCTTGCAGTTTCTTGCCCAATACTCCGCAGCCCTGCAATTTATTCTTGCGTTACTGCCGTCGCAATAGACGCTTGTTAGATCTTGTTTAGTGATCAATTAATAATAGATAAATTCGCAGCCAATTTTGTTTCTAGACGACGTCGATGGGCTTGGATTTTCCTTTGTTGCAATTTTTCCTAATTATAAGGAAATATTTCCAACTCTGGATCTGTAATTGTAATTGAGAGAAAGTATGTGCTATGGGGTGTATTATATTGCTAGAAGCGCGACGCACTTTCTCCCAATTAAAGATTTAACGGAAAAGTTTGCAGCTTTTGCAACTTGTCCCATTTTCGAACAGATGTTTATCGAAGCAGAGCTAACTTAAATTGGCGCGCATAATGCGCTATATTGCATACTCATACTTGAAACATTAATTGGTTTTTATTCTCGAAATTTATAACGAGTGTCAATTTACCGAATAAACGAAACAATTCTTTACCTCGCGACCCGCGCTGTCAGGCCACACGCACGTTCCGCTGTATTCATCGAAGTGCAATCCGGTGGTGCAGATGATTTCGATCGCCTCTCCGTCGATGCAGTTGTAGAAGACGTTGCATACCGTTGGGTCAGGATGCGCGAAGAAGCCGTTTCGTCGCGGACACTTCTTCGTCGGCTGCGGAGGTTCTGTGCAAAATCATGAATTAATGTATCGACATTATATTATGTTATTCAAGACGAAATAATATATTGCGGTTTATCGGTGTTGCCTCACGTAATTCGAGACGGTCGCCGCAGTCGACGTTGAAGACGTGATCGCACTTGTTAATCTTGCGATTCAGAGGATCGAACACGAGACCGTCCGGGCACAGTTTCTCCCTGGCGAAGCCGTCGATACATTCGTAGAATTTGTCGCACTGCTTGTTGTCTTCGTATTGGCCGTCCTTGTTAGGGCAATTGTACGCGGCATCTGCAACATCGTCGACGATAATACTTCTGCAATATTTCTGTAAGGAAAAATCGATACGTAGGCATTTCTGGTAGACGCAGGTGCTCAAACCTGTTCTACCTGTTGTCGAATTCTCGGATCGGCATTATTTCGTCGTTTAGTTATGTAATTTTGTCTTGGCCGCGCTCGACTGTACTTATGCAACTCGCCCGAGCGAGAGAACTGACATTTACGCTTTAGAAAGTTTGCTCTGGCACTGTCTCCGTCGAGCCAAGCTTTCCGTCATTCTAATGGATGTATTTATTGAAAACGAATGTGTCGTTATTCTTTCGCATCTCTTCTTTGCCTTTGTCGCGACATCGGCGAATTGATTTATTGCTATACAGAAGCAACTACTTCTGCTACTTGATACTTAATAACGAAGAGTTTATAGTTTAATTTATTTTAGATTCAATATTAAATATTTTATTGTACTGAAGAAAGAGAGAGAGATAATTTAAACTTCTTTATGGTTGAATATATATATATATATAATTATATTCTTATATATAATATTTTCTAGAACTACGCTTTTTTTATATTCATCGAGATTTTATTAAATATACCATATAAATAATTATATTTTAATTTGATAATCGTGATAATCGTATTGATATCGTGATTTTATGATAATAGAAAGAATTAATTTTAATATCTCGTGAAAATTGATTTTAATCATTTTTGTGATACAAAAATTATTTTAGTCAATTTTGAAAAAAAATCTTGAAAAAATCTATTTTTGTCTCTCAATAATTCAATAATCGATACTTACGCGTTAACGCGATCACGCTTAGCAACGTGACAATTCCGGTCGTAATCATTCTTTCGATTTGCTTGTGCTTTCTTGTCGAATAGTCACAGAATGATTCCAGATCGCACTAAGTTTCACTGAAACGGGCGAACAGCTAAATTAGGCTAATTTTTGGTCCCTCTTTGGAATGACGATGCCCTCGCGGAACTGCAGCTCTTCGGCTACTCACCGGCTGTGTATACCCCACAGATCCCCACTATGTCACCCACAAATCCTACTTTCGCCGTCACTTTTCATCGACAGATACTCGCCGAGAATGAAAATCGAGGAGACAAGAGAAAGAAAGATAGTTCGAGGGAAAGAGGGACTTTTACCCTTCTCTCTCCTCTTAACACTCTCACCTCGACGTCCTTCATCACGTTTTTCCTCGACTGGAAAAACGTAAATCGCAACACGGTGCTTTGCGATGACGATAATAAGTAAACGACCGGAGATGACATTAAGATGGGCACGTAGAAAGGAAATAATTCCGCCAATATTTCAGGAGAATTATATTCATTTTTCAAACGAACAAGTGGAAAGAAATCTATTGTTTTCTGATCAAAAATACTCGAGAAAACAGGAACATACGAAAAGACAAATTTTCAAACATATAATTAATAGAAAAATGCGAAAAAAGTATATATAATATGAAGAGATGCAAATAATCTGTGAAATAATGAAAATAATGTAGAAGTACTGCAATTTTTGAAATATTATTTTCTCACAGAATACTTAAGGAATTAACAATAGAAGAAGTAAAAACTCAAGATGAAGAGAATAAATATGTCAAAAATTTGAGGAAATGTTTACATTCTAAAGTTGTTTGCTCTTATTTTCAACAAACAATTTTAAAGAAAGAATACTAAATTACGCATCGCTGACTGTGGTTTACCAGAAAACAGCAGCCTTTTTATTAGGCTTTCTTTTCTTAACTATCGTTTAACATTCACCTTTGCTCTCGCTTCGATTGTTCTGATGAATTGACTTTTGTGACAATATTACAGTCTCTCATAATGTCAACGGAGAATTGTTGCATACAGTAATACACATTAAAAACAGTTTCTTTCAACCATACATCTTTATTGGTATTAACTATTACATTAAAATATATAAAATTTTATTTTATTATCTGAAACATAAAAATATTTTTTTTTATAAATGCTATAATATATTGCATCTTAAATTATTAAAGAAAATTTGATGTTATAAATAATTGCTTAACTAAATTTTTCACGACTTAAGATTAAAATATAAGAATTCTCTAATAAGTAATGACATCAGCTACTATACTTAATTGTAACCATAATGTTTTTGTTATCGAATTTATCACAAATTTTTCTTCGCGATGCATAGCGATACTCTTCCTGCTTTGTTCTTACTCTCGCTTTCAGAATGTCTTCCGAATGTTTTTCCGCAGGAAAGTCAGAATTGTAAAAATTTATTGCAACTTTTATCGATCCATTTAAATTCATGCAGTTTTGATTTGATTATTTGCCGACAAAATAAGTAACAAATTTTAATTAAAACTAATCAATCTATGAAGTTTTGCTCAGTGTCAATATTCTATCTAACAATGCTTCCTTCGACTTACGTAAAATGATTTTCATAAACGCCGCACTTGCGGAAGAATTATATTAGAGTTGAATTTCGGATACATTTTCCATGCGAGAAATGCGAGGAATGCTAGCTGATATCGCACTTTCACTATTTGCACAATTTTAACACGCGATCGGAATTCATTGCGGTAGAGGCCCGAATTCCTTAACTTATGTCGTTGTATATGAAGATCTATGTAAAATTAATTTTATTACCTGAATCAGCGTCTTAATTTTAACAAGAAACAAAATACATATAAAAAGACTCAATGTCGAGAAAATCGTGTTACAAACATACATATTTTGTACATAATAATTAGAAAATTAATTTACCGTCGAGATATGAACAAATAAGGATTCTAATTAATTTTTTTTCACAGTTCATTTCTCACAAGCAATTTAAAACATGTATAACGATTTATCCTTTTTCTAAACGAGTTACTTCGAAGATAGGATTTATGATTTAATATATTTTGAAAAAAGCGTATTTGTAGTAAAGATAAATTTATTATACAAGAGTATTTTAAAAGCAAAGGGACTTAAAAATCTATACTTATATCTTATCTAAAACTTCGACTCTATACGGTCGGCCTGTGCTTTCTTCTACTTGGTCCACCAGTTGTCTTAGGCTTCGGTGTTGGATGCTCCAGAGCATCCAATTCTTCATCAGTCAGCTGTCCTTTGTACCAGTCTTTGCTGTAATTAAATTTTTTTATTAGATAAAGAATTTTTAGTATAGATATTTAAAAAGTTTCTCAAACATTTCTATTTAAAGCACATACATTTTTTCCAGTTCTACAATAGTTTTTATGTTTCTTATTTTTCAAATATGTTGCATCAAATTTCTTAACGTTAGACATTAATTTTTTAATATATGTTTCTTATCATTTACGCTAATTTAAAGTTTGCTATTAATTATAGAACTTGTAATAAAAAATGTAATACTTCATACGAGATATTTCCAAGTAGTTTCTCTTAATTGTCACTTTTTTGAATCAGAAGATTATCACATTTTAAGACTATCTCTTATAACAAAAATTACATTTTCTTGAGTAATAAGTTTCGATTAGTGATTCGTACCATTCGGGTATTTTTCTAGCCCAATCGCATTTTCCGGTGCGTTCGTCGAATGCCTGGCCGAGCTTGCATCCGCTACGTCTTGGCACCTGACCGTTAACGCACACGTAGAAATATTGACAGTCTTCGGTGTCTGGATAGCGTGGGTGCGTCGCGGCCACAGAGTCATCGACTACCGGGCAAGTAAAGTTGAAAAGTTCGCGAGAACCGCAACCCTTCTTTTGTGCCTCGTCCGGCCAATTGCAAATGCCGGTCTTTTCGGAGAAGACCAGGCCCTCTGGACAGGTGATCATGTTGAATTTGCCCTCCACGCAGTAGTAGAAGGTGTTGCAATTCCTGGGATCTTCGTGAGCAAAGTAGCCGTGCATGCGGGGACAATGTGGCGATGGTTGCGGTTTTTCTATAAAAGAAATAAATATGTAATGTTGAAGTAATATTTTTAGTAAAAATTCCATAAATTTTTTCTCCTGAGAAATAGAACTTTGCAAAATATATTTTTATAACTGTTGTGTTATCGAAAAGATATATAATTTGTTTCTAAGATAATATTTTGAAATATTAGAAGCAATAAAATTACTTACGTAGTTTTGGCCTCTTCGTACAATCGATACCGAAAGGCAGATCGCACTTCTCGTGCTGCGGACTGAAATCATTAAAGACAAGACCGTCGGGACACAGCCGTTCCGTTATCTTGCGGTCTCGACAGTCGTAATATTTGTCGCATTGCTCCGCATCCGGAAAATATCCGTTAGGCTCTGGACATTGATCCAAGATCTCGTCATCGTCGTCATATTCCTCTTCTACTGGTTCCTGCTTTTTCGTTGCCAGAGCGGTTCTCCGGCGATTTTGTTCGGCGGCCTCTTGTTTCCTTGTCAGAGCATTAGCAGCTCCTATATGACGAAAAAATTATATAAAATATAATTTCAAATATTAAAAGATATTGAGGAATGACAACAAATAGTATTGCAAATTAAATTTTTTAGCATTTTTAGGTATAATTATTTTTCAATGTTATTTTATCAATAGTATATCTCGAAAAACAAACTTAATTGATGAAGTTCTTAATTAATATGTCATTTTTATTATATGACTAATATAATTTTTTTTTAATTAAGAAAATAGAATGAGATTAAGAAAAAAGAATTGTATAAATCGTCAGTCTTATTTTTTTCTAAACAAAATCATAAAGTCGACCTGCTATTATTCTGAACTCTTCATGTATTTTTCAAAACTTTTCTTCAAAGTATTTGAATCATCAACTGATTTATATCATGAACTACTTGACGAAGAAGAAAATAAAGGGAAATTAAGAAAGAAAATAACAGTAAATAAGAGAAAATATTAAAGCAGAGGGTCAACTGGTCTCTTGGCGTGTTTTCAAGGCAGCACGGTTGTCTGCGTCCCTGAAGAAACGCCGGTCGACCTCGCGAGTGCGAGCGAAGAAAGCGAGAAAGTGGCCGAGCTCCCGTATGTACACCAGATCGGTTCGAATCGGCCAGAACTTAATGTTGTTTAATCGGCTCGGTCTGGTGGCTTTCGAACACGTTGCAATTCCGACTTGGCAAACGTTCTTAGCTGAACAATAGTAGTCACATACGGTTTTACGGTTTACACGGTCAGATGCATTTATACTCGAAAATCTTTTTCCGTTGCATCTTTTTTTTTTGAATTACAAACAAAAAAAATTTTAATTATTTAAAATGAATTTAAGAAATCTATTTCAAATAATATATAAAATATAAGTCAAATAAAATAAAAATATATTATTATAAATAAATTTATAGATTTACGGATTTAATAATTTTTTTATTAGTGCGTATTGTACTGATAAATAAATTGTTTTTCCAGTAAGACTTATTGAATAAACGCAATAAGAAGAAACACAATCGTGGATTGCAAAAATGAATAGATTTCGTCATGACATCTTTACATGCATTACAATGCATCGGAACGAAAGAAAAAAATCTGAAAAACTCAGTTTTTCTTTGCATCTCGTATAAGTGATTTCAATTTAAACTGATAACAAAAATCATGAAAGCTCACCGAGACAGATCAGGAGACAAAGAACCTTCTTTTTCATCCTGATGAAGGATGATGCTGATTGAGAAAAGGGAAAAGTATGGCGTCACTTCGTGTGATGATCCAGTCGTGGTAACGCAGTAGAATTGATGACTAGAGACTACTGGGTCCCGTCGAACGACCAGCGGGGTCTTATATGCAGCCCCCACTTTATCCCCCACGAAGTTACAACACTTGGTGATCAGTAGGGTCTATGGAGAACCGTCTCCCTCGAGAAAGGCGTAGATCAAGATTGTTAGGTCGGTAATCTCGAAGCTAGCTTGACTCAAACAAACCTTTATTAAAATGAAAAGCATAACAAAATGTAGAATTTTGTTATATCACAATTTTATTAAAGTTAAATTTAATTTTGTGCGCTGCATCAGATGTAAATAGCAGTTAGAAATATTAATGAACTCTTTATACAGAACAAGAATATAATATTTAGTTATCTCCAAAATCTATGTATAAAAACATTTAAAAATTAATGCTCGAAATGAAAGAGAAAAAGAGTAAAGATAAAAAAATCTCATGTTCAATGCTTTTTCCTATTTAGTACATTTTGCGTTTTATATTTCTTCCAAACAATTCTCTTCTGGCAATCTTCCGATGAAATTTTGGACAAAGCGAGAAATCGACACAATCTTGAATCGAGCGAGGAGAAAGGCTGTTTTTTCCGCAGGAAAACAAGAAATCTACGCGCGGTGCAATGGCAGGATGTACCTCACCTTGACATTCCAGGATTCTAATGTCAGCGAGCACCCGGTCGCTGGTCTCCAACAGGACGATGTCCCCGAACACCCGTTTGGTCACTAGCAATTCCTTTCTCTTGCCGTCCTGCAGGACCTTGGCCTGTTGCGGCATTATTTGCTAGAATAACTTTATGATGTATGAGCTCTTGAAGTGAATTGATAATAATTGAACATGACAAGTATTAGAATGATCAGAATCAAGCTGAGTTAGAGATGATTTTTTAATGTCTCTTTATACATAGATTGAATTTTTTCTTTCGTTTTCTATCAGAAAATAATTATTGAAGCAACAAAATAACGTTTAAACAGCTTTTTTTAGATGCAATCTAATTTTTGCAAGGATAAGATAAATATGACCAAAACTTTTGATTTTTAAATTATAGAAAAAATTGATAGAAATGAGAGAATTGATAGAAATGACAGAAATGATAAGATGGTAATTAACGCATGATATGATGAAGAGAAGATTCTCATCACTCATAATGGCATTTGTTTCCATAGCAATATTAAAATCCTCTGCAGCATTGTTACAGGATATAATTTTATTTGCGCATTATTCTTTGAAATGGAATGTGCACAGTCAATATTTCGAGATTGCGATTGTTCCAATTTATAAAAGAATCATCATATCTTTTAATGCAGCTATGCGAGATAAAATCTTTAAAATTTAAACATGCACTAGATATTATCCAAATTTTTGAAGTATTAATTTCTAAGAATACATTTTTTAATATATTGTTTCATATATAACAATATATTTATTTATTATATTTATTTAAAATAGTACTATTAACCCGATAACAGATCTGTTCGTTTAATTACATTTTTTCTACTTTGCATTTCTTTCTCTCAAAACTTAAATATTTATTAATTTTATTTTAAATGTGGAAAATGCATGAAGTGTAGCTTGAATAACGCGAATATATTTAATTCCGTTCTAGCTTTTTTAACTATAAGTATTAAACACGCCATCTCTTGCTAAAGAAACTCATTAGTTGCTTTGACTCACTGATGAGCGGTAAGCGCGCTTGTTGCTTTATCAACTGCGCAGCTCGTTTACACTATGAGTCCGACGGCGTTCCCATGGCGCCACTGTGCAAATACCCGAGCAGCCAAAGAAGACGCGTCTTCTCTACGCAGCAAAGCAACGCGCTTGTGGCAAGCCTGTTCCGCGTTCTTCCGCCATTATATAGCGCCGTGGCGGCCTGTCCGCTATTCTCCGGTGAGATTGTGCTACACGACGCTTACCGACGCTCGGCGTCGTTGAGCGAGCGAGTAAACGGAGGAGCGAGCGAGTTTGAGCGAGTGAATCAAAGTAATAGTCGCGAATCATCCGCGAATCCGGTATTGATCTTGGTGTCGAGTAGTTTTTCCGAGTGCAGTTGATCGCGCGCGTGTCGGATTGTGACCGAGCTTGGAGCGGGTCGGAGCACGCTACTGTCGAGGAAAGGAGGACGCCGGTGAATATGGAGAATAGACCGGCGCCGCTGCGCTCGCGGCGCGTATGCCGATTCTGCTTGACGGAATCGGAACCGTTGAGCTTCATCTACGAGCGCGATCATACTAAGCCGTTCCAGGTGCCGCTCACGCTGCAGATCATGTCGTGCGTCGCCATCGAGGTGAGTGTCCCCGCTGCTAACGATATCGCGACACTTGGAGCGGGCGGCATCGACCGCCGAGACGGTTACCTTCTCGTAAACGCGAATTGCAAAAATCTTGCCCTTCTCATTCCTGCATTGGGATTGATCAGAAACGTGAATAAATGTCGGAAGGGGTGAGGCACAAGGGGATGTTTATTGTGTCAGAGATGAGTTAATATATTGCATGGTGACGCTGGTAATGTAGGCAGTAAAATTGCCGGCCAGTCTGGTCCCACGATGCCAAAGTCCGCGCAGAGAGGACGCGATGTTCGGTTGACGATTGTTCCCGCCTGATTTTTTTTGAATTTTTTTTATCCGTAAAGTAAAAGCTCATAGATCGATCTTACAATTAGAATGTGATGAGAAACGGTATGTTTTAGAAATTAAATAGTGTTAGTAAAAATTGAGATTCTGTGTGTGTAATTTTGTTTAATGAATATATTATGAATCGAATTGATTTTATTCTGCAATATATTGAGAATTATTTTTTTCGCATATATATATATATGCGTATTACTTTTAATATTCATAATTTATTTTTCAATGATTTATTTCATGAATACAAACAGAAAATTTACTCTAATCTACTTTATTTAATAATATGCTAATATTTTATTATATAAATGAGAATCAAAAGAAAAATTAGGAGTTTGTTTGATACTAATAATTTGAAAATATTATTTTATTTTTATATTTATTATTGTATATGCTATATATTATTATTTGAATATATCCCATATTAATATTATTCTCATTATTATTTGAATATTTCCCATCGCATATTATGTATTGTACTTGAATATTACATTATTATTTATGCTATATTTTCAATTTTAATATTTAATCTGTTGCATGTTGTGTATATATTTATATATTGACAATGTTTTTGATTATGTTTCACAAATTTATATTTTATATATACAATTTATTATTATAAAAGTAATTTAAACGGAAGTATCGAATATTGCCAATTATATACATATATCAGTAAAAAACGAAAAAAGAAATGATTATCTTGAAACTTGAACTAAATAATATCTGTACATTTTTATTTTTTCTTATTATCTAGTTTAATTTTATTTACCATTTAGATATAATATGTATATTATTATTTGTGTTGCAAATTATCAATGTACCCGAGAAAAAACGGTATAATATGGTCAGATGTAAATATATATAATTAGTTATAAAAAGATCTGATAACATGTAATATATTATATGATCATATAAAATTACATATGTTATTAGATCTTTTTATAACTAATTATATATATTCACATGTGACCAATTATACCATTTTTTCTTGGGTAGTTTTAAATTTCTCAAATATTATTTCGATAATTACATTACATGTATTATAATACATGTTTTATTATATATGTATGTGATACCTAATTTACAAACTTTTCGAGATAATAGTTATAAGCTCAGTCTCCTCGGAACATCTCTCCTTCAATTCCTAAACATCCAATGAAACAACTCCTTTCCGGATCTCGAACGGATTCCTGAGGTAAGCACATCGCTAATGCCGCGATTTATTCTTATTATTAGGTATACGCGGCGGACGGAATGCCACAAATGATCTGCAACATGTGTCGCTGGAACCTGGATCGTTCGTACAAATTTAAGATGCAATGCAAGAAGGCAGACGAGGCATTGAGGGACTATCCTCTATCCGGAGTGCTACCTAGACCTTTCCCGCCAATTTCGAATGAACCACCAGCGGATATTGGCAACAAAAGATCTGCCGAATCCAAACTGCAAAACGAAACGAACAAGAAGCTACGTACCGATAACGATAATAGAGAAAGTAGAGAGAGACGCGAAACCAGAGAAAGAGAACGAGAAAGGGAGAGACAAAGTGAGAAGCAACGGGATAAGTCCAGTGATTATTATGAAGAGGACCAAGAAGAAGACGGAGGCAGCGAGGGTGAACAGGAAGTATCCGTTAAGGAAGAAAGGAAGCTGGAACCCGGAGAGATCAGAGTGCACGCTTGCGATCAGTGCGATCGTACATTCCCTCTGCGTCAAGCACTGATGCTGCACATCGTGCGTGCACATCGTGACCGTAACTTCAAATGCAGTGAATGCGAGCGACAGTTCTTCTCTAAATATGATCTCAATAAACATATGAGCACACATTCGGAGGAGAAGCCATATTCGTGCACGATTTGCCAAAAGCAATTTTCGCGTTTAAATCTGCTGCAGCGACACGAAAAGGTGCACCGCGACGAACTACGCTATTCTTGCCAGCACTGCGACCGTGAATTTTTCACTTCAGAGGACCTCGAGAAGCACGAGGATGCGATGCACAAGAAAGATAAACCGTTTGAATGCAACATCTGCAACAAGCGCTTCCAATACAAGCAAGGCTTGGAGCGTCACGAAATGATGCACAGTGAAGAGAAAACGTACGCATGCGATTATTGCAAAGAGGCCTTTCATACTAGCACCAAGTTAGCTCGGCATCTGTCCACGCATGCCGGACATCGGCCGTTCATGTGCAAACTATGCCCGCGCACGTTCCTATTGTCGCATCATTTGACCAGGCATATGCGCACTCATTCCGTGGAGAAACGCCATGTGTGTGAGGATTGCGGCAAGGCGTTCAAACGCAAAGAGAGCCTGGAAGTTCATCAGCTGACGCACACGAAACGCGGAATGGGTTTAACTTGTGACGTTTGCCAAGAGTCTTGTCGTAACCGTGCTGACTACGTCACTCACATCAAACAACACATCGAGGCGGGCGAAAAGATGGGTCCGGACGGTTTGCAGCCTGAAAACAAAGCCAAGACTCTCGAACTAGATTCCGAGGAGGAGGAGGAAGAAGAAGATCAGTATTCGGATAACGATGATGATTACATGCCCCCGCCGTACATTGTGAAGAAGCTGCCGAAGTCACCGAGGGCTCGAGAATCGCAACAACAACAACAACAACAACAACAACAGCAGCAGCAGCAACAACAACAACAACAACAAGGCTCCGAGAGCGAAGAAGAAGAAGATGACGATGATGACGAAAGAGAGGAAAGAGAAGATAAGAGAGAAGAAAGGCAAGAGAAGGAAGAACGCAAAGAGCAGGTAGTGTATGTGCGCGGCAAAGATGGCACTATGTTGAAGAAAACTCTAAAGACGCTAATGCCGATTCAGCGTCGTGACGTTCAGGAGCAAAAAGTCACTAGACAAACCACGCCTACCGGTTCCTCTTCTCAGACTAGTTCGAAAGGTTCTTCATCGTCGCAAGTCAAGGAAGATAGTCCCAAAACCACTCGTGTGGACGATACCGAGGCGCAGGTGCAGAAGATTGTCGCCTCGGTGTTCAAGGAGCATAAGATTCCTCTGAAGCATCAGAGTCCCGGCCAGGATCAGTCCAAGGAATCAGCAACGCCGGTAACAAAGTCACAGAGCTCTCAAGAAACTCGCAAAGACGGCGACAAGGCGGAGACCAGCACTCCCAAGTCAGTCAACACTGTCAAGGTAATCAAAAGGATCGTGTTGAGGAAATCGGCTGGAGGAGGAACCAATAACGAAGGAACGCCAGTCAGCACTCCTATTTCCAAAGACGGAGACGCTGCGAGCGAAACTCCAGGCTCGCACAAGGTCAGGCGTGTGATAGTACGCAGAATTATTCGACAAGGCGACACCACTCGAGAGGTCATCATGAATCCGGATGGCACCGCGATAGATCCTGCGGAATTGGCGAAATTGCCGACCGGCAATGTAGTGAAGCGAGTAGTGGTGAAGCGACCGTTGGATAAGAGTCAAAATTTGGTGCAGACGGTGCTGCAGTCAGCGGAACAACGTCAGAAAGCAGGTGACGTCACTGCAAATGAGAAATTCGAGCTGAAGACCTCGGCATCGTCCAGCAGCGGAGTAAGCAGCACGCCGAAGAGCACAGTCGCGCCGCAGAAGACGCAGGTGGTCACCCAGGGTCAGGATCAGGAGACCAAGGAAAAATTGGAGCAGCTAGAGAAACGCGTTGAGCAGCAAAGACTGAAGATCGAGGAATTACAAGCGAGGAAGGCGCAGCAAGATTACGAAGTGATTGATGAGATGCTGCCGGATCGGCACGACGAATCCGAGGACGAGCAGCAATTGCCGCTGAAAAGAGTGTTTGTCAAGCGAAAGCAAAGTATCTACGACGAAGAACGCGAGTACAATGACGATGCGGAAATAAAGCCCAGTCCGAACGAAGAAGAAAAGGACGAAGTCGAACAAGTTACGAAGGAAAAGACCGTAGATGATATCGTTGAGGAAACACTGGAGAACGTTCAGAAGGAAATCCAGAATGCACCGAAAACGACGACTAGCGCCAATAGCACCACTGCTATAAACAGCACACCGGAACCGAAGAAGGGTCCGATGATTTCCAGCAACAAAGTATACACGAACAAACGCTATATGATCGTGAAGACCGAGGACACGTCGGAAGTGGAAGAGATGAGCCGCGAACTGTGCAGCATTCTCGAGACTACCGATAACGTGGTGAAAATGCAAGAGACGGTATTGAGTAATCTAACGCAAATATCCGGCATCGCGACGTCATCGACGCCTGACGTGGACGCGGAGAATGCGCCATTGAAACAGGATACGAACTCAATGGAGGTCGACGAGCAGATAAATCAGGAATGCGTGATGCAGATGGATTGCGACATAGAGGCCGTAAAGGACGAAACAGCAATGGAGGTGGAGGTCGCGCAGGAAGCGGAGATTAAGCTGGACCCCGTGAAAGAATCTGTGCAGATAACAGAAATGAAGGATGAAAATCAGGAGCATACCGGTACGCTGACGCTAGATACTCAGGATCTCTCCGAGACTGCATCGATCTTTGAAACGTCAGACGACGTGCTGGAGGTGCAAAAATCGAGCAGCGCAAACTTGGACGAATCCGTCATCGAATTATCACAAAACAACGACACCATCAACCTGAATGATACCAATGACAGCCAGGACAGCTTGGAGGACAAGCTCTCACAGATGGAGGGTTGAAGGAGACTCGATCTTCCATTTCTTCTTGATTATTGAAGAATATCCCAAATATGGAAACGGTGCGCCAAGTAAAATTATATTTCTAATTTACTGAACAAATTTCGAGAATTTTCGTTCGATTGGTAATTAGTTCTGGTATTGGAATCAGCAATAATTTCGTTATTTATTTCAGACGGATAATATATTGGATAATATTATTATTTGTATAATTGATGAAATTGATAGAAGACTTATACTATTAAAGTACAAAATAGTATTGCATTTTTATTTGTATAATGTACTTTGATATAAATTTGATGTAAAATTCAATATTGTTTTGAAAATTATACATATATATATGTACATATATATATGTACTATTAAAGCAGATAAGAATATTAAATTTTTCAATTTATTATTTACATTAGTTATGTTATTAATATTATTATTATAATTACCATTGCAAAATATAAGTATATAATTATAATGTAACATCTTGTATTAGTTTGCAAAATATCAAACTATTCTTTCGACACAACTCTATGATGATTAAATCTGAAAATCTTCTTTGACTTATAATTAATCTTTTTGTGTTGAGTTTTGCAGATTATGAAAGTTATATGAAAAGATATAATTCAAAGAATTTTTTTTTTTTTTTATACAATTATTTAAGATACAAGAAAATTATACAATTACAACTGTACATTTTAATTTTCAAGAAAATTAGAAAAGTTTCCAATAATATGTACAGCGCACGTATCATATATATCTTTCTCATTAATCAATTGATTGATTTTCTGAAATGTTATCCTAAATTTGTGCCAACGCTACTTTCCAATCGTGCGAAGATATCTATGAAACAAACTAGTAATGAAAAAGTTTTAATATATATTAATGATAAAATTGTACCAATTTCGTGAGGATGCTTTTACAAATGAATTCCATAACATTTCATTCATTCGATCATACGCATTTGATTTTTTATTACGATTAGATTGCTTTGATCGTTTTAGAGTTTGGTGATTGCGGACAGAAAAACTCGTATTAATCTTATCAAAACTACATCAACTACATTTTTTAATGCATCTAACTTTTTCTACTCACAATTAGAAGTGACTCAGATTTATTAACAATATTGAAATGTTAATTATCTTAATTATTATATGAAAGGATATAATTCAAAGAATTTTATTTTCTTTTTTTTTTGTTACAATTATTTAAGATACAAGAAAATTTTACAATTACAACTGTACATTTAAATTTTCAAGAAAGTTAGAAAAGTTTCCAATAATATGTACAGCGCACGTATTATATATATCTTTCTCATATTTTTTGTTTGTTCAAAATTTTTCAACATTTACAATATTTTTAAAATAAAGGCACTTCTATTAACAAGAACTTCTATCAAATCTGTTCGCGATGATGCTTTCGTTTTAAGTGTTACCGTTCGACTTAGCATATCCGCACTGAGAATATATTTGTAAATATACAGATAGCCACCGAGTGGTTTTATTGGCCCCGAATTACAGCCGTGAGAAAAATGTGTACATACAGTAATCTGTATCTTCTCTTTCCGCATGTTCGTCTTCGCTGACGAAGAAACTTAAAACTTCGCGTCATCGTCGGATTCGTCTTCTTTTTTTAGCATTAAGTGTCAGCTGTAATCAATTGCAAAATAAGTTAGTAATTATAAGATGTACTCACGTAAAAAGTGTACGAGCAGGAGAGTAATTTGCAGAAAAGGAATCACATTAAAGATAAGATGGCAGAGAAATTTAGTGCGAATTGCTAATTAAAGAAATTTGAATTCAAATCTGTTGAGTAACATGATTAGAGTGATTCTTCTACAAATTACTTTCCTGCTTTCAAACTTTTTACGTGTCTCTTATAATTAGCAACTTTTTTTCGATATCTTATCAGTGCAACAGATTCTGCAAATCGATAGATTTACACTGTTGGGAACATAAAAGATAATGAGACGTATATTTACAATAATCGTAATCGCAATTATTTCATTAATTAGTAAAAATTACAAAGATGATATCAAGTAGATTATTCGATATTATGCAAGATATTTGGAACTATATATATATGAAATACAAAATATGGTGTGTAAATGTAAAATTTCCGGACGCTGTTCGAATTGAATATTGCCCCTATGTCCCCCTTTTAAATAACAGGTATTCAAAATAAAAATAGGTAATTTGAAGGTAAGAATTATTTAGTATATGGTTATTGTGGCATTTTTTGTGAAGTGATAAGAATAAATTAAAAAAGTGATAATAATTTAAAATATTCATATAAAAACTTAGATTTTATTTCGTACAGTATTACATATAAGGTTTACATTTATGATAATATATATATATATATATGTGTGTACTTTGGATTACAATTATTATATAAATAATTTTATGCACTAACACTACTTTTACACGTGGAAGAAATGCACATTTTATTGTGATTGTGTGAAATGTATAGATAGGTTAAGGTCATGTGATTACGCTTGGAAAATTAGTCGTATTTTATTAGTAGTTTTTAATAAAATATACTCGCATGTTTGCATGTGTTAATGTTTTAAAACATGTAGAGAATCTTTGCGGCAAATGTGTAAAAAGTATCTCGAAAACCGTTTGGAAACTCGCGTGTAAGCTTGCACGAAAGGGCTACAAATATGCATTTGCATTTATTTAAATGTGAAATGAACAATAAATTACACAAGTGCGCAAATTAATCAAATACATCAATAAATAGACAGATCTACTTATAAAAAAATTTATGATTAATCTTATCGATTGAATCTGCTTTAATCGCGTATTATTTGCTATTAATGTTTGAATTGATTAAAGTTGACTCTCAACTAATATTAAATTATTAATTTAATTATTACTAATTTGATCTTAAAAATTTAGAACTAAATTAAATGAATATTACAAAATTAAATGTCAAAATATAAAATTGCGCATATGGCAGTTAAACAGATTGCGTAATTTTTTAGTTATCTATTTATAAAGCGCGGTGGGGAATTTAATCAAATGTTCGGTTGATTGATTTATCAAAGTGCATCTCGCTCTCATGCATTTGCAATATCGGTTGCACGCGTTGTTCAAGGTGTCGATATCGCGAAGTATTTTACGACGAAAGATCTTTATCTTTCTACGTTAATCATTCTGATTGACTGCAAGACGATCTGCGAAATATATCGTATTACTTAATTTTAATTGATTGTGATTTATGTGGTAAAAAATATTTTATTTCTTAAATTAGATTAATACTCTTTGATTAGAGAAAAATTAATACTTGAATCTTTTTTACGAAAAAAATTATATCTTATTTTGAGATCAGCTAATTGCAATGCGGATAATTGCATCCCCAGATCGTCCTGCAATCTCTGCAACAAATAGAAGTTGACATTATCCCGCTCGCATCTTGCTTCTTTTAAAAAGCAATGTAATTTTATAAATTTTGTTTTCGAGATTTGTATTTTTTACACGAAAGTCATGTAATAATTCTTATCGCGACTGGCGAGCTGGCGGAAGTTGATTAAAGTTGGTTAACGCATCAAGCGGGATTGTCGTTTTTCCTGCTGGTAAGACTCTGGAGCTGCAAAATAAGGATAGTTTGATATTCGCTTTTTTTCCGCGCGTATAAGAATCGTTATTCTATTCTAGGCGAATCGCTAGACCGCTCGTATGTCTGGACATCTTTGTATCTTAGAGCCCGCCACGTCCGCTATCAATGTACTCGAACCTCTGTGGGACAGAGACGATTGTGAACTTAGATTTGAGACAAACTAAAATTAATCTTTTCAATTAAAAATACTTTTATGTAAAATATTGCATCATTATCAAAATAATTTAGCTGCGAATGAAAAAAAAATTTTATCTTATTCTTCGGAGAATAAAAATACATGTGATATCATCATGCAATACATGCATGCGTTTGTTTGTTAATTAAATACTCTGCCCCATAAAGATTAAATAAGTACTCATGCTTTTTTGTTTTCAACAAAATTTAAGTTTAGCAAATACTATTATTTGCAAATAGAAAGATAAATGTGTGTTAGTATAGCGATTTGGAAGCGGAAAAATTTTTGTTAATGTATAGAAAGATGCCAGACTTACATTGTAAACGTATCTTTATAAAAATTGTATTTCCAGGTCATGTTTCAGACACAGACAAATTAGAACGAAAATCGAAAGCTTGTGGCAAGATTCAATTTTTAGTTGTGAGATAATTTGTTTGAAATTATTTTATATTCAAATATATTCAAAACGACTAAATAATCGCGAATTAAAGTTATTAAAAACTTATATGTTTACTAAAAATATTGAAAAACATATTAAAAGTAAGTTATTACATTTTAATTGAAACTTAATTATAAAGCCTTAACAACAGAAAATTTCTCTTTTTCTCGTGTCTGAAAGCGGCCTCACATTCTATAACGTAGTATAATGTACCTCCTTTTCCTCGGTGGCGACGGAAGCGTAGGTTCTAGCGGGCACTTCTGGTTCTTTGGCGGGCCCGACTACGTGCACGTAAATGAGTGCACCGGCGATGCCACCCAAAATCGGGCCGATCCAATAAAGCCAATGATCATCGAAAGCGCCCATCACCACAGCGCTACCCAGCGAACGCGCCGGATTCATTCCGGCGCCTGTTCGCGGCACCTGATTATTACGAATTATTACAAAAACAGAAGATTGAACTAATTTTAAAATTTTTTTCATTCATTCTTAAAAGGATTTTTAACGATTATAAAATTAAATTAATAAAATCACTGTGTTAATTAAAGACAAAGTTCTGAGATAAATTAAAATAGGAAATGTGATTCAATTTTGAAGTAATTTTACATTAGAGTTATCGAATAAAAAGATATAATCTCAAAGTAAACATTAAATTAAAATTTTCAATATAAAATATAATTTGAAAGAAATAGAAATAGCTTCTGTAATTATCGCAATACTTACGCCGGTGATATGGCCAACGGTAACCGTCAGACCAATTATGAGGGGCGCGATGCCTTTGCTATCCGGTTTAGCGGCATCGCATGCACCGCAAACTACTAAGACCAAGATTAACGCAAGAAAAAATTCCACGCCAAGTCCTTGAACTGGAGTAATTTCGTCAGCAAGTTTCACCACGCCCAGATTGCTAAGGTACTTCTCAGCTGAAAAAGCTCTCAGAATCGCTGAACCTGCGACGGCGCCCGCACATTGCGCCACAACGTACAGGATACCCCTGATAATTGGCACCTACGACAAAAACCAGAATCTTATCAGTATAATGAACTGATAAGAACCATTTGAAGTATTTGACGCAAAGAAAGCAAATGTGAAGTGATTAAAATTGTCAAATAATATTATTATGATATAATTATTGTAATAAGGATTCGATCTCGCGATCCCGTGATTAAATTTATCACTATATAGCATTGAAAGTTACTGTTATATCAACATGCAATTTATTTAACTAATTTGAGATTTATTTCAATGAGAACAATGGTTTTATAATTGCACCCATGCAGTTTTGTTTTTATAAACATAGAAACGATCGATTTTCATCGCGAGATATCGAGTTATTCAGACTAGTATGAGTTTCACTTGTGGAATAATAGATGGTTCTCGGTTTACACGCAATATGTATATAAATATATGTACACAATGTGTCAGATTTAGAGCGGATTCAGAATTTTATAAAATAAGACTTAAAAACTGACTGAATCTAAATCAATTAATTCTTAATTAAGACTTATTAGAAAAGAATAAATAATTGAAGATTTGCAAATGACAACTGCTCGATCTGCTTTCGAAAATTATTTCGTTGCAAATTTAATATAATTCTTTGATTAAATTCTTGAAGGACATAATTCTACAAAAATACGTCGCTTACCTTGCCGATTATAACGAGACCGAACGTGACTGCTGGATTGATGTGACCACCGGAAATATGGCCTATTCCCTGAATCACGCCCGCTACCACCAAACCAAAAGCAAGACTAATAGCAACAATGTTTCCGGTCATCACAGCACCGCAGCCGAAAAAGTTCAGCAGCAGAGTACCAAGGAATTCCGCCAGAAGGGCACGAGGAAGACCGGCCTTCTTGTCAGTTAGCTCGTCAGTACCCAAGGCGTTTCTTAGATTAGCCATCTACGAGGGAATTTAATATGTAAGTAGAAAATAATAAAAAGAATAAAATAAGGGAGAAGAAGAATAAAAAAAAGCATCTAACGAACATAAAATATAAAAATACTCTTAAACGATATTTAGCGGTTTTATCGGGCATTAGTGAATTTAGATCGAGGCCGCGTGTTTTACGAGCGCAGCTACGACGAAAGCTACATTACGCATGTAGATCGTCACATCCTTGCCTCTTGAGCGATCGGCTCGAATTACCTAATTGCGCTAAAGCTCACTGATCGTCTCACCCACGCGCTTTAATTAAAATCAGCAGAATTTTTTTTATCGAAGAGATGAAATATGAATAGTCTGCACTCAAATTACACGCACTTATTATTATTTTAGAAATCTTTCTAAAAAGGCTTTCTTAAAGAAAATTATTTGACAGAATTTATGCTAATGGATGGTCATAGTAAACTTTTGCAATTTTTATTTTTTAAGAAATATTTGATTAAACGGCAAAGTAACATCAAAACCGACAATTTCTTTGAATATTATATAAAGAAAGTCGCGAATTCATTCTTAATTATATTTTAATTAAATTTATTCCGATATCAGATTGTAAACATAATTTCTTATTATGTACACTTTTTCCTCTCTCTTTCGTTCATTTTCGCGCGATTTCTTTTCTCAATGAGTATCTTATTAAGCAGACAACCGATTTGCCTTCCAAAAATGTCATCTGGTAGGCGGATTATGCAATTAGACACACGTCATTATTAAAGTCGTAAACCAAGATGATCCGATCTTACAGATGATGTCACAGCTCGAGATTGTTCTTCCTTCACATCCGTCTGACTCTGTCATAAAACTATTTGTCGCTCATACAGTCCATTTGCTAAATCGCATTGTGACGAAATTGCGTAGGTCTGAGAGGAACCGGATTTATTTGTATTTATGCGAATCGCGTGATCAAAATCTTGTTTCTTTAGTTTTGATTTTCGTGAGAGTTCAAAATCATACAAAAAATATAAATTATGAACACTGACAAAAATTTAAGTTAGAATTAATTAATAATTAATTAATTAATTAATTATTTTATAATTTAAACTTTATTGATATTAACATAACGCAAATTATAATTGCAATTGGAATTTTAAAGAAGTGAACTCTTTAATAGATCTCTTTAATAGATCTCCATTTTTTCTTAGTCAAAATTTTTGAATATTTTATATATTATTTTTTTAATTTTCTAAAGTTTTATGTGACTTTCTTTCACTAGTTTTGTATTTTATTCATCTGGCGTAATTTGCTGAATTAGTGAATTCCGCTTGGCCAGTAATTCCAGTGGCTCGTAAAAGCATAATAATGTTCGCACGTTAATATAACGGAAAACGTGCGATAGTGTCGAGAAATTCTGTGAGAAACTTTATTTCCATCATTTATTTACCTTTCTTTTTATGTCCGATTGTTGCACGCGATCGCGGTACTTGTAATTTTATAAAATGCATCCTTTCCGCGAGCTTTAATCGAGCCGCGGCCGCGAATCCGCGTTGTTATCGATGAATCGCGTGTTAATAGTTCAAGCCATTATTTACTATTTACGCTGGCAATTCTCCGTGCGATAATTGCAGGAAAATATTGCAGAAACGGTAAATATTACAGAAACTTTATAAGAATCTGAAGAATGATCCGAGAATGATCTTTTGGAAAATTTTTATCTTTAGAAAAATATATACTCATATATTTTATACGAGATTCTATAAAATTTATCACTTTACTATATTATTATTCATCATACATATTAACATACGCTTTTCAAATCTTTGCGATTCTCTTAAAATTCATGAAAGAATATTCTGATTTTACATAGCGGTTAGCTTCAGCATCAACTCCTAATCATTCGTCAATAATCGGCAAACGATTGCACGCGAAAACGGCGCAATGTTAACACATTATTCATCGCGACAAAACCTTGAGTTCTCAGCATAACGCGCTCTCGTCCCTGCACATTTTATGTCATGATTTTTCCTCTTCCCCTATTAACGCCCTATTTCCTTTTCACACGCTCCGCTACATTTGGCGGCGAAGTAAAAAAGGCCGTCCTTCGCGATTATCAATATCGGCGTACCACCTGGCGGCAATAAAAACCCCCTTCTATCTCACCTGAGAATACACCTCAGGCTCGCTTTTCTGCGATTGCAGTCGGCCGTTTTGTGTAAACGAAGACCGGTTGATTCGGTATAATATCATAAATCACCCGTTAGATCCTCAGCGATTTATAACCGACCGTTGGAGAAATCGTTATCCTTATATGGTCCCCCAGGATTTTTCCCCTCCATTTATTTTATTTTTCTAGTCTCTTTCGCCAGTTGATACCGTATGTCCCTTTAAAGGCTCGATCGACGATTGACCACGTCGGATCGGCAATCCACTCGTTCCACTTTACATTGGACGCAAACGGTCTTTTCTCTACCTTTCGATCGACAAGAATTTAGCATTTGGTTTTAATTAACGTAATTTTATTTGATGAACACATTTTATTTTTTAATAATATGTGAACCATGCAGTCCTTGAATTAAATTTCCTATCAAAATTAAAATCTTAAAAGAAAATTAAATTGAATTTAATTAATTTCATAATTGAATTCAACAATTCCATTACATCTAATTTAATTGTTAAATTTAATTATTAAATTATTATTTTTACTTTGGTATGTAATATTTATTTTTCAATGATAATCAATAATATATTTTTTTCAATATAAAAGTGGTATAATTTAAAACCACGTTATTTGTTTTTTGAAGTATCATCGAGCACAAGTACGTTCGAATGTTCACCGATTATATGTACAACACATATACTTATAATATAGAGATATATCTATATCGGGAGCAGAGTGATAAATCACGCTAGTGCGTAACCGTGAAAACAGCGCATGATAAAGACGAAAATAATTGAAATGTTCGTATGAATGTCACGAAAGACCATGATTCGCATATGTATCTCGCATTTGGCACTAAATGTTACCGTCTGATACGAATCGTAAAAATTCTGCGTCTAACGCAGTGCAATTGCGTTTTACATTTTCAACCGGTCAAAATTGAACTTTAAACATTTTTCTTTGCTATACAATTTTATACGTATTCGTTTTACGTAAGCTCTTCTAGCAGTTTCCATTTACTTTATATACGTTTGAGATCATTTTATATGTTTGAGATTATCGTATAAATTTATCGCAGGAAGAGCATTATTAAAATTTTAATTCTAATCATATAATTAATTTACTATCTTTCTTATTATATCTACTAAAGGCCTATCCCACGTTCAATAAATATAATAAGATAAATATAAATGAACAAATTAATAAATATTAAATTACAAATATAAATAATAAATATCAATAAAATTATAAATACCGCGAATGAGCCTCCACTTACTTTGAAGTCTCGTAACTGATGTCTTCACAAATCAATTTTTTCAAGTTCCTCTGACAGCTTCTCGTGAGATCCTAAGAGTATCTTGAGAGTTGTATGAGATTCCTTTAACAAATACTTGAAAGTAGAATAATTTCTTTTAAAGTTGCTGAAGAGTTCTTTGAGATTCTTGCAAAAGTTTTTTTAAAATTCTTACTAGAATTTCTTCGAGCAAAGTTGGCTCACAATAAAGCCGAGATGACTCCTTCTAAGCGACCGAGCGACAACTGTCGCGAGCTGAGCTCTCAGGCCGGTCGGGCCTCACATAGGAAGGTATCCGTTCTGGTACTCTACCGGCTGGCTGGTAGTAAAGTAGTAGGGATATCACGGTTAAAAGTGGTAAGTGTACGCGCGCAAACAACTGGATGAGTTTACACATGGAATGTACCGTTTTGATAAAAAGGATTTTCCGCGAGAACAGGAAATCTTTCAGGCTGGAAATATGTTATAAAAAAATTTCCATGAAAAAATTATAGCTGAATGTCTGAACTTTAGATGAAATTTTCAATAAATCAAAAATTTAATGTCCGCTTTGATGACAAAATTTTGAATAATTTGACTCTTCTTGAGAAGTGTATCTTAAATCGAAATACAGTTTTCGACATATGTATCGTGAAATATCACGATTGTTTTTTAAGAATTGCGTAGTTCCTCGCTCACATTCATTTCTGATTCACTTCTTGGCCTCTATGTCACAATCTTTTTTTATACCGGTTTGCTGTGAAACGTGATCGCTTTAGGAAGTTAGAAAGAAAATGAGCAAATATTTAAAACGGCTTGAAATAATTGAAAATTGTTTCATTGTCCAAAACATTCGAAAATATAATATTATACAATGATTTTATAACTTGAATGTTCTGTAGAAATAACTTCGAATGCAAAATGACACGGAATGACACGATGCAATTTTACAATGAACAGCTTCCTTCGGAATTCTATCGATCGTAACTTTTCTAAGATGTGTAATCGGAAATTGCGATTTCCCGGTAGGAAAAGGAAAGTACGGTTTCAACGGTACTTCCTTGCGGAGCACGCGATGCATAACGAAGGGGGAATCGTCTAACCGCGAAGACGACTACTTTAAAGACGACTACTTTTAAGCCTTAACCTACGATTAAACTCTAAACAGTTTAATTGTTTTTGCATTTATTTCAACGATGTCCTGATTTTTTAAATATTTATTTTAATTATCTTTTTTCATAACGTTTTGATTTATTTATAGTTGAGATTAATGTTTTTTAATTTCTAAATAATTTGTTCACTAAACACAAATCTTTTTAACAATCTTTGCATGAGACATGAATGAAAAAGCTATTTAAACAATTTTCAGTAAATATGAAAGTTTGTCGGTGGTGGAATGTCAATGTTTTGAAACATAAAATATTAGGTCCTGCCGTCTTACACAATTTATCCTCTTTTTATCTTGTTAAACCAATCGCGCAAATAAGTCGAGTGCCATAGAGACAATCAGCGTAAGTACATTCGAATCGACGACATTCAGAAAGTGCGAGGGCGGAGGCAAACGCCCGTGGTATGAAAAAAATGTTAATTAGCTTTTCGATGAATTTCTGTAACTCGAAACGTGATTTATTCCACAAGGATCATCTTTATATTCGACGATGATGATTCGGATGTTAGAATGTCGGATCTGTTGTGGCGCATATATGAATAAACGCATGGAAATAAAATGCGAATGTACTATGAATTATTTATAGATAAATTTATAGATAAATTTAATTTGTGACGCCATCAGAAATATGTAAAATGTGGTTTTAGAGATGTTTTACGGATATAATTTATAATATAGTAAAAGTTAGAGATATACATTTGATAAAAGACTTAAAAAAAAGTTTTATTATCATTTTTACTAGCGCGATGAACATAGTTGTTGGAATAATGCAGAATTATTATAATGCGTTTTATGATTATTTTTACTACTTTTTGATGTGTGATGCTGGAAACTATATTCAATAATCCAATTAATTACACAAATGAAATGAAACAGCGGCTTTGTTCAAAAGCATTCTTCAAGTCGCGTGATGTTTCGTCTAGAGTAGAACTATAATTATACCATGCTAGAGTATCGCAATTGTGCAACATCAAGTGGCGGTGTGCTTAGAGCTGTATAATGCAAGCATGACAGCGTATACATCATGGAGGGGAGTCATATTGTTAGAATATTGTTTTCATTGGAAAACAGCTGAGTTCTCTTGGCCGCGTTGTCATCTGTGAGTGCTGAATTGAGGTTTACACGTCGACTCACGTACAAGTATGTAAATTTATCATGCATTAAGCATGCATCTTCGTAGCGAGAAAAAATCAGCAAACAAAGAGAAACAGCGAGACCGAAAAACTTTCTCTCTCTCTCTCTCAAACTCTCATAGAACGAAAAAAATTAATTATATATTTATAAAAAGTTAGATATAATCGTAACAGATGAATACTATAAAGAAAAGGAAGAAAATTTCAGCTCTGAGAGAGTTTAAAACAAATTTGGCAATTTTGCTAAATCAATTAATTCTTTAAAAGTGTGGATGTGTCTATTATATGTATATTTGAATTATGATTTTTTAACAATGAGCATGATATAATAGAGTTCAACATACGAAAGATCCTGAATCTGTTCCGCCATAAACCAATGAGTCATTTCGCGTTCTTCGAGTCCGAGCACATTCCGTAAAATAGCACAACAGGATCGTCATCGTCATCGCCGAGTCATTACCGCTTTTTTGATCACCGCGTGCTGTCAACTACCTCAGCTTTGTCCTTTTACCGGTTATGTGCGTGAGATGCGTATCAATGTTTCCATACACCAGTTTATTTAGCAGTAAGTTGTATTAAATACTTGTCCAAAATATCCGTCATAATAATAATATGTATTCAAAAATTCAGCATTTAAAAATTATAAATAAAATATTACATGAATTATTATTACGTATTATCGCCGGTCATTAGCGGTCATCTCTTGCCATCAATGAGTTTCGCGTGTAGAAGAACAATTTTTTTGCTTCTCTATTCTGCTTTATCACATAACTTCAGTTTAAATCAGCTCGACCGAAAAAGTTGCCTTGATCATAATAATAGATACATGGTCGACATTTTTTACGAGCCAATCGAGATCCGGTAATGCAGCAGTTCGCCACATAGTGTGACCTAATATATAGAATATTTATAATAATTCTGATCATATTCAATTTTATATCTATAATATTATTAAAAAAACACAGAAGCGCATTATATATTATTGCTATATTTAGCATTTTTCTATACGACATTTAATAGATTTACAATTTGTTTATTTATGTTTTTAATAACATAATTTCTTTTATTTTATATTGTTTATATGAATTAATAATTTGATATTATTTTTTTACAGTATTTTACTTATTTTATATATTTTTACGTCTGTGAATTTCATGATTGTATTAATTCGTGCGTCCAATTTTAATGCATAAATGCATCGAATACATATGGAGACTTAGAGTCTAATAAAGTTTTACGCAGTTTCAAGCCCTGTTTCGTGTCCAGTTTTAAGAAGGCTACCGGAAGAAAACCAGGCACCCGTGTCAATCTCTCTATTGAAGAAACAGGCGCATATGATCAAAAGATCGATATGCATTATTCTCTCTAAATTGCTGTAACATGAGAAGTCGTAAATAACTTTAAAAATAAACTTCTCAAAAATAAATTGTCCAATTAGATGAACTTGAAATTTATTTCTGACGCTTGACGTAAATCAATTTTAGCGATTAGCTAAAGCCTCTTTGAAAGAAGGCTATTAAGTAACGTTTTCGATAAGGTAACATGTACAATTATGCGAATTCCGCAAGATTCCCTGCAATGTGCACGTCGCAAACCGATCGTTACAATGAGTGCAAGAAACTGCAGCTATAACGTTCTCCCGCGTCCATCGCGTCCATCGACTGACCTCACGTATGCTAATTGTCGCAGTTTTATCTGCACGCGAGCTCACTATTGTCATAATGTCAGTTAACGGCTGCGAAATAGAACATCAGGAGGGATTGCGCGTGAATCGAGAAACTTAAAATAACAAATAACTTAATAATAAATTCTTTGATTAGCCTTAATTCTAGGAAGGAATATGACTGAAATATTTTACAGTTTGTGTAGATATTTTGTAACATTAAAAAGTTATTTAAGAATTAATTTTTGCAGCTTTGAAAAAAAGATAGAGAAATTCTCAAATAAAAAATCAATTGTTTTATTGAGATAAGTTAAATTATACACAATTTAAAAAACGTTACAATGATAGAATCGACAAATAAGCGAAAACAAATTAACTAGAATTTTCTTTTATAACTTTATACTATTATACTTTAAAAATAATATTTAAATATTATTGTTTTACATCATATAGGAAATGAACATAAAATGTATAAGGTTCTAAAGAGATGGAAAAAATGCAGTAAATTAAAAACAAGAGCAGCATTTTTTGTGATACTTTACAAGATATTCTGAGATAATATGATAAATGCATATTAAACATCTGTATATGTCAACTTTAATATCTCACAGTAATAATTAATGAAGTCGCAATCAATATAATGATCCTGATTGAGTTATTTCTGACGAGCAATGTCAAGAAAAATTTCCAGAACATTCTTCGTCTACATTTAATAAAGTCTCTCTTCATCTTATTGTTAACAAGACAAAAATTGTTTAAGATTTTCGACCCAGTTGGGAATGATATCACAGAGAAAATCTAAGCAAACTGCGAGAGTAATTGGCCGTTGCAGGCGATGACCGGAAATTTGCGGTCTGAGATTTCACTAACGGGATCTTATCAGCGGCCTTGGTGGTGCCATTATTTATCGTAGTTTGTGCAATAGGTCAAGAGTCGATAAATAAGAAAAGAAGTTTGAAATTTGTAGACGTGCTAAATATATTTTACTTGGATTTTGTATTATACAGAACTCATTGGCTTGTAAGAAATTGTAGACTAAAGAGAAAAAGAAAGAACACAAAGAAATTGAAGAAGGAAGAACGAACAGAAGAAGAACAAGCAAATGTAAAATCTAAAACACAAAAATCTAAAAAGAAACAGAAAAGAAAGGAAAACGCAATAAAAAAGGAAAGAAGACGGAAAGAAAAAAAGAGAGAAGAAGAAAAAGAAAAACACTTGGATTTCAATTTAATCATTCTCGGATTGAACAAAATGATTATTATCAAAATTTGAAGACAATCCTTTTTTTTTATTTCAACGGCTGTCGATTTATCGCGTCGGCGAGAACGATATCGACAACGACGAGGACGAGGACGCAGACCGATGCAACCGGAACATCGCGAGCAGAACGATCAGTGGCAACGCGTCACGCAAGTCGGCTAGGTTGCCGCCAAGGTCATGCATTACCACCACTACCTAGGCCATGCCTAGGCTAGACAGGGGTGGTCGAGGATCACGGAATATCCTTTCTAGTGGTCGTCCGCTGGTCGTCGCCTTCGCGGGGTTAATCCTGGCGCTTGCTGAACGCAGGCGAAGGTGACACGCCGGTTCAACGAGTTTCGTAGTGGGGTGGATGGCCGCCGGGAACGGCAGGTGGTGGCTCGTGAATCGCAGAGCCTGGCCGTCTGGGGATGCAACGTCCTGGTAGCACTAGGACCTCCTACTCAAGTCTGTGGCGCGAGTTTCTGGTCTTTAACTCGACTGCCAGGCGGTTCGGCCTGAAACGTCACCGGGGAGTGAGTTTCTTTTTTTTATTATTATTTTAAAGGAGCGATAAAGATTGGTAATTGATAGTGTGGGAAGTGACTCGTGAGTGCAGTTCTTAAAATATGTCGGCTCGTTAAAATTTGATGAATAATTACTTTTATATAAATTATGGCGATGAATTATTATAAATGTATTAAATAAGTGCTATAATTGTAATAATTTCTATAACTCTCGATATTGCAGATTTCGATTTTGATAAGATAAGGTTTGATAGGAATGTGAGCTTTGAAATTAGCACGAGTTTATACAGTACAAATATCTAATTATAAAATAGCGTATTTCCAAATAATACGTTATCAGCTTTTACTTTATCACGTACTCACGCACGATTTTTATTGCTTTTGCAAACGGCAGATAAGTTACGTTCTTTTGTTCTTGAAATCGCTTTCGTAGCTGTGACGCGGCCGAGATAATTATGATGCAATGATAAGAGCAACGCAGGCATCTTATCGTCGTGCCTAACTTGTGAGTCAGAAGTTATACCGCGATATATATTTTTAATTTAGGTTAATTTATCTACAAAATATATCGTAAGACTGTGAAGTATGTTGAATTAAATACTTATGATAATCATTTATGTAAATTCGCGGTGCAATCTATACGGTCTATAAGATTTGCACATTTATGCAAATTTTTAGTCTTTTATCTCTCATACTCTTCGTGATAGAAGCGAGACTTTTTTAACTGAAAGACATGTTAACTAGGTTTTCACCAACCAACTAATGAGCTCTAAAGCCACTCTAAAGTGAAGTAAAGTAACATCGCAAAGATATAAAAAATTATATTTCTCCACTTTTTTAATTTTTATTATATACGATATTTTTTATCGCATACTTATCTATTCTTAATTTTTATGTCAATTAAGGATATGAATTAAATTTTAATTATTTGATTTTTTTAATGTTGAGGAAGGAGAAGAAATTAAACTAACAATATAATTAGACTCGTCATCTGGAAATCAAACAATATACATGATACGAGAATTTACTTCTTTTGAAATAATTTTTTTTTACAATTTCTTCAATCTTTTTCGTTGAATTTATTTGTACGATCTATGACTAGATTATCAAAGGAATGCTAATATGTTGAATTTAGACGACGAATTAGCAACTATTTTAATATAATCTGAGCCTCGATAAAAAGAATTCAGTTGCATCGCGAGAGACACGTCGATCAGTCGTGAAATAAACTAGATCGTTGTTAAAATTTTCGATTGCACACGAAAAATTTAAATTGTATTTTTATATTAATTATTTACGCTATTTTCGAATATTTGGCAACTTTAACGCATTATTCATATTTGTATAACACTATGCATCGCAATATGAGAAGAAGTGAAATGAATTTTACTTCTTATGGGAGTTGGAAAATCGTAATAGCCTATAATACATAATATTTGTAGTTTTTTTCGATTATTTTGCATTTAAAAATTCTTCTGGAAGTAAAAAAAACATTTATTCTTGAGATTGGATGATCTTCGAATGACTCAAAAAAAATTACGAGGACGCTACAGAACTGCTGACTCAAAGATCAAAGATTAATAATCGTAATTATATTCTATTTCCAGAAGCCTGGAGGAATGAATGTGTCTACGGTGTTCCCCGAAGGGTATGTGGAAAATGAGCGGACACGACGTCAGACGCCGCCGATACCCAAGGAGATAGGAGAGCTCGACTTGGAACGATTTCGGCGTGAGTACATTTTATTAATTTTGCATAAATTTATGTTTATGAAGTGCCAATTTAGATTTAATTACACTTTGAATTTTTATTTTAATCCTTTTTTTATTATACTTCAGTTTTATGCCTTATATTACAAATTCTAATTCTCAATTCTATTATCTACGGCTTTAATAAATTATAAATTAACAAAAAATTATAAAATTGTATAGTAATATTATCTTTTTTACATTTTTTGCTACTGTAGAATTAAATTTTTTGTGAATTAATATGAATTTCACAGATGAGTTGCTGATTTAATAGCTAACGATTAACATATTTGATATGATATACTTTATGCGGTTTTTTCTCAGAAAGTAGGATCATTTATCATTCTTAAGGACATTCTTTGTATCAACTGTACATATGTGCAACTATATCGAAACAAAAAACGTGTTTGCGACAATTCTATCATTATTTGCAAAAAGCAACATTATCGTTGATGTTGTATCTGCATGAACGCATCGCATAGCATTATACAATTGCTATGAAATTAAATGACGTGTATTGCGCTTCGCCGAGAAAGAGATCGGGAAGTATATTCCATTTAATTAATTCTTTGAATATCGGGAAAATCCTGTAAATATACAAACAATAGAATGCATAATGTAATAGCATATATTGTAAATTCAATTTTAACACTTGGCTTTTGTTTTACAAATTATAACATTAAATGTTTGAAGTTGGTATATATTGGACAAAATACAATGTTCAAATCATTTTTTTATTTTAATACAAATTTCTATTATTCTATTTGTATTACAATAAATTGAAACATTATTACATTTATTCGTGTAATAATGAAACAAATTTGTTGTACTTTTTTTAGACAATAATATTATATCTTTGAATCAAAATTCCGATTTTTTAGCCATAATTTTAGTTATTTGTTTATTATACAATATAGTAACAATAAATTTCCTATTTTATCGACGAAAGACATAGTTGTGTTAGCTATACGTATTTAATTTTACCGTTTTAAATCGCTCTCGATAGATTGCGACTTATCCTCAACTTACAGAAAAAATAAAAATGTCTCGCAAGGATGGCTGAACTGCATAGCCATTTGGGCTTAGCAAACCCACGCACCTGAGTTCATAAACTGCAGTCGTACACATACACATTAACTTCCATACAATTAATTAAGAATTAAAAAAAATTTTAAGTGTGGATAAAGTAGAAAAGAATTTTGCAAGAGAGGGATTTTGCTCAATTGGCAGGATGGACTCGATTTTCAACGCTATTCTTTTTCTCATGAAGAATATAATTTGTCGCAAGTCCAAAATATAAATAATGCAGATTTTATTTTTGGATTCTTTTATTTTTTTATTGTTATCTTGAATTTTTCAAATAAAATTGCCTAAGTGAATTATTGAGTAATTAGCGAATTACAAACTAAGAAGTTTTAAGTTTGCTTTCTTATCTTACAGTGCGTAATCAATAAATATGTTTATTAGCACTTGTCGCACAAGATATGAATTGTTTATTTTATTTGCAATATTGTAGATTTTTTAATCCCTTAGTTTGTTTTTATTTTTCTCAAATTCTCTAAAATATGAAAAATATTATTTGAAAGAATAATTTTGACCGAACCGAGCGGAAAGTGCGAATCGTGTGAAACGGAAAATTCTGCATTCCGCCACATCGTTGGCGTGCCTCATTTTCTATGCACCGACAATTATAGTGTTCCCGAGCTAGCTCGCGGCTTCCGCGCGCGTGATTAGCATCGGTCGTTAATGTTATGCATTCGAGAAATTGTGCCCTAACGATCTCGATAATCATCGTGATAATGTGTTGACCGATGAGATGTGTTTACTTGTCATCGATTCATCATTTCCTGTAAAAAAAAATGCGTTTCTTAATCGCGTATCGCCTGCTTCTTATTCTATCGTTGTTCTTCTAGCCGACACGCTATTAATTATCTTAACAGCCGACAGGAATATTCTTAGAATATATGCTGATGTTATACGCTTCTTTTAACATTAAAAATTGCATTTTTATAGACGATTAATAATAAAAATGTAGCCTGCGTTTGAGTTAAATGTGAAACCATGATTTCCGTGCATAATTTATTTTACGAGTCTTGAGAATGTGGTACAATTAAATTTTATGTATTTACAGTGAGATCAATAAGTGATGAATTTGGCAGATAATTCTCGCGTCTCGAATTAAAATTTGCATGTGAAGTTGCGCGTGAGAAGTAAGTTTGTGTTAAATGCTCAGAAGTATAAAATTCGTCAGCGCGTCCTTCATAATTAATTAAAGTTAAATAAATTAAATGGAATAACACCTTTTTAAATTTCAGTAATAAAGGTGATATGTTTTAGGAAAAAAGAGGTTACGGTAGACTTTGTATTCGCAGTGAGATTTCTCACATTGCTTTTTGTTAACAACCGTGATGAAAAACGATCATTCGTTGAGATTCATTAATTTCCGCTGTGACATTATGTTATTATGTTCTATTATACACTGTTGTGTCATAAAAGTTGTCGTCGTATATGAAATACTTTGATACTAAACTTTTTGAAGAATTTGAAATCGATGTTTCTTCACTAAGAACTTCAAGAGATATTTTAGTTTCATGTTTAATTTTTAATATTAATTATATCTCGATAACTTTTTAAAATATTAAATATATCTCGGTCAAATTAAAATTGCAAAACATATCTGCTTTAACAACTCGAATTCTTATTTAATCATATCTGATAGAAATTGGTCTACTAAAAGTTAAATTTATCAAGATTTACATAGATTTGATTCTGAATGTCTACACGACAAATGTCATCTTTGTTCACCCACAGCGAGACGTAATGTTTTATTCATGACGCGATACTTATCGTAAATCATAAATAATTGAGTCGGCCACTTGGCGATTATCAATCATGCGCTCCTTTGTTTCATTATATCATGAATTCGATTTGACTATGAATTTCGAGATTAACTAGATTCATTTAATTTGAGTGTAATTATATAAAAATTGCCCAAGAGTATCATATAAAAATTACATATAAAAGCAAAAAAACGAAAATAGCTAGTAGAAGAATCTTTTTATCCGGATTAAATGTGAATTAAAGATTTATTTAGTCAACGATTGCAAATGACTTGAATTGGATACATGTCGCATTCTCGTGACATTAATCACGCAAGCAATTAATTAGACTGGCCGACAGCTGACAATGAGACATAATTTATAAACGGTATATGCGAAATATTTGCATGGCAATATGCACAGCAAAAATTTGTTCCATGCAGTATGTTGATAAATAAATATTTTCAGGAAATTTTCCATTACTTGAAATCATGTTTAAGAGAGATCGGTATTCGCTTGTACGTATTATTTATTATTTATTACGCGGATTATAATTTTAGTTCACAATTTACATACGAGTTTCTCAGACGCCAATCTGATCAACTGCGTGAAATAAAAATAGGGGAAAGTGCTCGATTACGGGTGGTTTCCTAATTCCGAGTACTTTTCTAAGGGCTGTACTCTGCAATTAACTTTTGTAACTAGGGGAAGGATAGGGCTAGCCATTGTAAGCCGAGTCGTGCTATCGCGTATTCATCACATTGCTTTTTATTTTGTGATTTAGATAAAAAAAATATTCTTTGGAATTTTCTGCGCAAATCTACTTATAAATACTCAGATTAAATAGATTACATTATTTACATAAAGGCATAAAAACTTGTTCCGAAATTAGCTGAAATTCTATTTTCTCACACTGTATTTGCAGAGCTAAATGCATGCGCATCTCATTGTCAGCGAGTCATTGCGGAAGTTAAAAAAGTTAAACGCAAAACTATCAGTGATCTCATCCACTACACTAAATCGTATTCTTTGATTGCATACACTGTTCACTGGTGTTATTAAGGTTTTACAATGCATTTTGCATTCAAATTGACGTATTTTCCTTGATCCTACGAATTCTCGAATACAAATTGCATAATCTAGCGCGTTTTTCCGTTTCCCAGAACAGATTATAATTCTTCACGCTATTGTAGCTAATCTACAGCATCACTCACCTAATTCCGCATTGTACAACAATTAATCAGATTATTTTTCATTGTTTTCCGAAAAGACTCGTCACGAAGAGAAAAAGATCTTTATTTTGAAGAACAATGCAATCAGTCTTTATTGTGTCGCAATCGTAATCGTCATTTCTTTTATAAATAATTTGTCCAGCAAAAATAACATTAAACTGCAATGTGTGAATAATCTCTAATTTATTGTTGAAATAAATGATTGAATGGATTCGCCTAAATGATGAAATTTTTCAAATGGCACAATATTACGATAAGAATCATTGGGTAATTGATAATCGATAACATTTTTTTACATTAATGCCTTTCAAATTTCAAGTCACGCCTTACAGACTCTAACATTAATTTCAATTAGCTTTCAAACAAAACATTAGGTCTGTGTTATATCTTTGATGAATCTTCAGATTGACATGTGTGATTTACTATCAACATTTCGCACATAATATAAAGTTTTATTATCTTATTATTGATATATTTGTGATAGAAAAAAATTCTATTCAACTATTACGATAAAGTAAAATCGATCACACATTTGCAATTAAATCCAAAAAATTTGCTCCAAAAATAAATATAAAAAATTCCAATTTTTTTCTATATTTGCATCATTTGCTCTTGTATTTAAAATAATTTATGTTTTGTTGATTATTAATATCTGTAATCACTATGTAATATGCGGTATCTTTTGTACATTGTACAACTGTTTTCATTAAGCGCCATCACAATCAACATACCAAAGAGCAAGATGTAATACACGCAACATGGCGTGTAACGCGCGCGCACACGGGGGATTCATTGCGGATTACGTATGTAAGCAACACAAACGTAATTATTCTTGTGCGAGTGACGCGCGAGAATGCAACGCGAGTGCAGCAGGAACGATGCGAGTGCATAATACTAATTGCGGAAGCTATTTACGGAGTTGCTTTGCTGCCGCGTAACGACCCAATTAATGACGTATAATTATTGTCTGCTACCATTGCTTTTGAGCGAGAAGACCGAGAATCTTCTCGGCGGCGCAATATTTATCCACTTTGCACAGGTAGCGTTGACAAACATTGATAATACCGTGATAAAAACGCGCGACTGTGCATATCGTTTATTTTTGGCAGGGCCGTAGAAGTCGAGTCAATATGAGAAGGTTTTATCTTGTAGAAAAATGTTGGCTCTGATATAATACATATAGTAAATTTGGAAATAAAAATTATAAATTAATTTTTATTGACAATTTGTTGATATGTTGATAAATTAATTTGTTCCTTATAGGAATCTTTACAATCTTGATTTTGACCGCAGATTTTTTAATGAAGTTTATTTACATAATGTTATTTATATTGCAAATCGTAAGAGTAAGATATAAATTTGGGACAAGCTTTCTCGACTCACCCACATTTCTTTTTTTATTTCGAATTTGTCAGAGATTCCGCAGGTGTTCTATATCGTTCTGCCATCACGATAATCTGTTGACTTAATGCACGTTACGTTGACTTTTGTAACGAAAGAGATCGCCCACGCGAGAACGGCTTTTCTACTCGCGCGTTAAATGTGTTTCTTAGCGAGACGAAAACGAAAGTGAAAAGAGAGAGGGATCCCGAAACCAACTTGAACGGTTCACTGACACATCGTCGCTCATGGTTCATAAATTCGTTAACGCTAGCGAATCTCTCGCAAAATGTGATATACAAATTAGTTCACTAATTTATATTACGCATTTACGACACGCGCACTAAACTGATTGACATAAATCTTTAGTTTGAATGATTTTGACTTCCGTAATCCGACTTTTCCGTCAATTAGCGCATTTATCGCGTTTAACGCCTTTAAGCGTGCACTAAATTGCATTCATCAATAACATCAGTGTATGCGGTTTTTTCTTGTTATTCTTCCTTCTTTTTGCTGTTTGCCTATGTATTCAGCTTTTATTTATTCAATTTATATATTGATATTATTTCTCACATCTAATATCCGTGTGAAACAATTTTAAAGGTCGTGTATCTGCCAAATCAGGTTTACGAATTCGAATATGAATGATACGGCACTCGTATCGACATGTATCGACGCACTCATCGCTCGCGATGCACACGTCAAATGTTTGCGATGTGCAGATGTGCCACAATGTAACGTATGTTACGCATTCCTGGAGTATCATTCGTTAATATAACCTACTTCTCGATTAGAAGAAGTATGCAAACATATTTAAGAAATCGCGAATTTGCGCAAAAAATGCAATTCTGAGAAAACATAGTGAAAGTGTGTGTCCAAGAGACATCTAAGACCTAGAAAACTACAAAATAACTGAAAATTATATTAGAATTAAAATTATAAATAATTTCTAAATGTGGATCAGATTATTTAATCTTTTAGGATGACATTAAACATGTGTTTAATGGACTTTCCTTAATTAAAAATTTAGGACATTTAAATGCAACACATGAAAGATCCTTCTTAAATTTAAAAATTAACCTACACATCAAGGACACGCGGCGCGATTACGCGATAAACCGGCTCGCATCCTGACGGATCGAGAGCGACAGGATCGACATGGTTATATTTCGTTGCACAATGCAAATGTACCTCCTCTTCTTGCTTCCTTCCTCAATAAGCTCTCGAACGGATCCGCTATACACACGCGTGATAGACCCCGAGGAGGGACGGGGGAGGGACGGCAGAGAGGGTCCGCACGCGCGTTGTTCAGGGAGAGGGAGGACCCCGCGCCGCCGGTCGGCGAACGCAAGCGATATATGAAGGCGAACTCGCGCACGTCGCCCAGAAACTCTCACGTGGTGTGCACCACTCGCGGTGGCATTGGAAGTGTGATCCTCCGTGCTTTTCGGCAATCCATCCAACCCCTCTAATTCCTTTTATTCTCCCCGCACGAAAATTCGGTGAAAAAAATAGCCTCAAAGGCGTAGTCGAGATTTTTCTCTGTCGAGTGCAGAATCAACTTGTTTTCGTCGAGGAAAATATCGACATTCTCGTAGAGATTTGAGGGAGGTTCAAAAGGGAGACACCGGAAATCAAAGAGCGATTTCTTGCTGCAGTCATGAGCAAACCGTGGAAAAGTATGTGACGTGGAGTTATTGAATGTGAAGAGAGTGTTGGAATTATATTTGTTGACATTAGTGATCAAAAGTATTCTTGTTAGATATTCTTAATTTATGTTAAAGATTACGTTAAGATTACATCGAGTATCGTAATTGAGAAAATAGAGTTGTTTAAGAGTTATTCTTGTTACGTCGCGATTAAATTCATTACGATTGTAGAATCAGAAATCGAAATTTGGCTTCTGTTTTCTATTTTAATCTATGTAGATTTTAATCCAGAAAAAATAAGATTTTACTGAAGTGAGATTGAACGTTTTATTATATAATTTAGATTTTTAAACGGACTCGAAGTATTATTAATTATTCACAAATTTTAAGAGATCACGTCGAACAATATGATTCTGACTTTGAATTTAGATTCAGTGTCGTTAAATCTCCGAGAGACAAGCATTTTTTTCTTATAAAAATATCTAAGAAAATGTTTAATAAATTATTGTTATCTCACAGATAAATAGAAATACAAGTATTAGGTATAGAAAAAAGTTTGGCAATGATAACTTCGGGAGTCAAAAATTTCTCAAGTGTGTGTTAAGAGAGTGAGGAAATGTATTGATTTTACAAGGGAATTTTTATTTTGATCGAATATATAAAAAACAAGTGGAAGTAATCGATCAATGGTAATATTACATGGAAGAACAGGCTTCAAGGTATTCTTCGTGATGATGCACGCAAAACCAAGATATGCGTCGTTTGTTGACTGGATAGTAAATTACATAGGCAAACGCGGTCTGTCACTGCGATCCAAAGCACCTACAAGATGTATTCATAAAAGAATCATCACTTATATCATATCTGCATATTTTTTTCCTCGTGCTACATTCCTCTACTAAATAAAAATTTAATTAAACATTATGTTTATTTGATTTTTTAGTTTTTATATCTCTAGTGAAATATTTCAATATAAAGTTTTACTATTTTTTATATTTTTATGTTCGGAAAAAAGTATTTTTGAGAAACTTTATAAAGATTGTTATAAACTTTTTAATTATATTTTAAAATACAAATAATTTTATTCTGTTTTAAAAGTAGTTTAGGAAAAATACGAATAAATTAAAAAAAAGGAGAAAATTAAATTTGCGTGAAAAATAGAAAAATTTGAAAGTGCAGAAATTGAGACTAAAGATTAAAATCTAAATAGACGAGTATTTAAAAATATGTTTACTTTGAACAATTAAAATTTACGGATTGTCTTAAAAAATATTATTTTCTAATAGTCGGCGTACTTAGAAGTATTTTGGCGCTCAACAATACTAAAAATATCTCACGATAATAGAACATGTTTTAACTTTCATTTTCAATTAGTATCGAACGTTTATTTTGGACACGTTATCATGGACACCTTTTAATCGCGCCTTTTAATCACAACTGTGTAATCCACTCCACTGCACTTTAACAGACAATCGGACACATGTTTTTTGCGTTTTATATCTTGATAAGGGTTAAAAATTCTGTGTGATAAAAATTCACTAGATTCGATCTTGTATTCACTTATCGCATCAATCCTTTTCATCTGATTGTGTCTAAATTGCAAGCTACAAGAATAAACTGGAAATTATAATTAAATTAGCGTGTAAAAGTTAATAAATGAAATTGTAAATTAAAAATTACAGTTAAATTAATAGACTGCATGCAAATAAATTGGAATCCAAATTAACAAAAATTTACTAGGTTTTGCGATTGATTAATAATTTATAATTAATTTATCATTGCCAAAGTTAAAATTATAAAAAGTAGACATTTATTTCTTCAATTTGTAAGAAAGAAACAGATTAGACCATAATCTTTCTTTTTTTTAATCGAATCATTCGATTGTTGCAGGTGTGAAGGAGTTTGTCGGCCTGGAGGAGGTCAGTAGGCTTGAATTTCTGGTGATGCTATTCGCTGAGGTCCTGGGCACGTTTCTGCTGGTCCTCATTGGCTGTGCCTCCTGCATCAAATGGGCAACCACACCGAACGTATTGCACATCGCGTTCACCTTTGGTCTCGCAGTGGCAAGTTTGGCACAGGTGAGTTATCAAGTGAATCAGATTTCAATCAAACAAATTGGATTTAAATTTTAATTGTCATGATTGATAATCCAGTGATATCTGGAGAATGCAATAAATTACTTATAATAAATAATTTCGAGAATGTCTGACGATGAAGGCTGAGAAAATAGATTTATTGGCAATATATTGAGGAATAGGTCATGAAATCTTTCTACTTCATAAGTATTTATGGCAAATACTTATAAGAATACGTGCTCACTAACATTTTTTCGTCCAGAATTTTATTACGCTGCGTGCGAATTCTCATTTTTATTCATAAAAGCACGTTTGTATATGTATGTGAAAGCGAGCGCTTAAAGTCCTTCGAGTTTATCTTTATCTCGAGTGTTTTCCATTTTTGATATTTTATTTCACGGTTTTATATCCATTAGTACATAATTTAATTTGTATTGACAATAATTTATTTTGTCCCACATTTTTACTTTTCGTATTTTTTTTATAGTATGTATATGAGACATCCAAATAATGTCAGAAGCTGAAATATTATATCAGATTTTAAAATAATATGCATTCTATATATACATCACCTATCAATTAATCACAATTTAAGAATTATTATTATCAATAATGAATCACCACATGAATGAATAATCGCCGCAAAATTTCTTAAGAAGTCCATACTCGAAATAAAAATCACATTCCATTAATTATAATTCAGACGTTTTATTTAATTTACGCTAAAAGTTTCATTGCAAAAACGTAATTTGTGAAAAGATAGAATTCTATTCATTGAGGATTAAAAACGATTCATTGAGGATTAAAAACGAATAAAATGACGCAGGTTTACAAGAAATTAGCGAACTGAAGGATTTCGCGATGTACAGAAAGATTTCAAAAATGTCAAAAGAAAGATTATCATGATTCCTGGCATTTTAATCGTTCGCTCGGAAATTTGCATTTAACGAAGACACACTTGTGAAAAACAAGTCGTCTTGCGTTACATCACGATTAATAATTAATTAACGTCTTGTAAATGTTTCAGTTTTCTTTTTAAATGAGTCATATCGATCATAATTACTGAATGGGTCGGAGACGCGCTTCATTTCTTGCATTTTAATGATATATATTTGCATTTTTATCGCTCTTTTAATGCTATATAATAATAATGATTACAATAATTTTGTAAGATTATTTATTTTTAATTAACAGTACAATCCATATTTGTTTTTTTCAACACTTTAAATTAATTATTATAAGTACACATTACTTAAAATGCATGAAAGGATTATGTTATAGTTTTTTTAACACCTTGTGTTTCGATCGCGGGGATTTTTTTAGAGTGGGGATTCCATTCACTTCGCTAAAGTTTTGCGACTAGTCACCTAATCACTCTCACTCTCGTTTTATGAATCAGTCTTTTTCCTTATTGAGACTGAAAGATTCTTTGATGCAATTCTTTTATCTCAATATATTTTAAATAATATTAATGGAAGAAAAGGATAAAGGATTACGCATTCTTTAATCGCGAATCTTTTCGCGATTAATCACCTTGATTGCTCATTATGCAAGTTTAAGCATTTAACATTTTCTACCTTACGTCGATTTCATCTAAAATTAATAATATCATAAGTAGACTAATTGATTTATTCGCTTTTTATATTTTTCTTTAATTTGCGAATAAATACCAGAAGGTTTTTTTACCTAAAGCTTAAAGTTTTTACACTAAATTCATACGTTTTACACCACAAATACATTGTTTCGATAAGTGATTACACGGCAAAAAGAAATCACCTGGTCATTTATTGAGACAGATAAGTAGACGAGATGGAATAGGGATCATCCGTAAATCACGTTTGGCTCGTCCTTTCGAATTCGCGAGCTGACCTCGTCCTCGAAACAATTTATAGCGCACTGCTCTGTCGACACGCGAACTTTCGGCGAATGGCCGGCCGATCTGTGAAGAGCACTCGAGCCGGCCCCCTTTGTATCAATCAGAGTTTGCGCGACGCGATCATGATGAGATGAATGGTCTCCTCGCTGGCCGGCTCGACTATTTTCCATGACAATTGAAACTGGACGTGGGAAAGTAATCGTAATAAATGATCGAATCCGGCCTCGTTTGTCAAAAATTAAAAAAAAAACACACACACACACAAGAAGAGTTAATTAATTTTTATAATTATATTTGTTTATCGCCGATATAAAACTTTTTCCAATAATATAATATAAATTAAATTTTTCAACTTCTTGAGACTAATTTTCTAGAATTGAAAAAAAAATTATTATTCGTCGTATTGATTATTTTTGCATTGTACGGGCGTGAAAGGATCGTGAACTTCGATTTAGCCGCGGCGACGCTTTAATTGAAGCACACGCGTGTGCACGCACGCGATACGTATGTAAACGCGTGCGTGTGGGCCGCCCGGGTCCACCGCGTGGTGGAAGCGTAAATAAGGCCGCCAGTTCGCCCAAGGGGGTCTAACTTTGTCCGGAGATGGTGCAACTGTGCCCCGGAGGCTTCTGACAACCTACTCCGAGAGCTCCGGAGCTGGAGCTCGAGAAACTAGCGTTCACTCTTATTCCGCTTGTGCGTCGCCCTTTTGATACTTCACTTTCCGACTGCCCGCGGCGCGGATGTGAACGTCAACATGGTGTCCCAGAAGTAGCGTAATATTCTCTTTCTTTTTCAAACGAGTGGGGGGAAGAAACAGATAAAATATGAAGTCCGAACCCAAAGAGATTGCGTCGCTGCTCAGCTAGCAATATTTTAATTGAGCATAATAATAGACGGTAGAGTGGTTTAATTTGATGTTTCAAAATCGTAAAAAATTAATCTCAAATCTCTTTTTTGATAATATTATATCTGCATTATGTTTCGAGATTTCGAGATTTGATCAATTTGTCAATCGAGTTTTGATCAAGTTCTGATCAAGTTCTGATCAAGTTTGATAAAAAATTGTCTTTATTAATTTATTCAAGTTTCTGAAAAAGAAAAATTTTGACTTTAGAATTCTATATTATTGTTTCAATCACTATTGATTATAGTTAAATGATCAGATATATTTCGGAGCCAATCTTATACTTTTAATTTTAAAAGAATCTTTCGGAAATTAAAAAATAAAACTCGATTAACATTATTTGTTTAGCAATGTTAGTGACACTTTCTCGGATGCCCAGAGTCTCTTTACTTTTATACCCTTGTAAGTTGACAAATTACTCCGGCGTTAAGCTGGAATGGGGAACGGTACTACTTGTCGTTCCCTAACTCCGATATCCAATTATATCTCAATCTCGTGACATAATCGACCACAATCTTTAGACGCGTTCAGTCACGCGTTACACGCGTTTAAATACAACTCAATTTTTCGCCTGAGACATCCTCGATGTGTTAGCGATCGGCTTTATTGTGCTAGCCGCTTTACACAGCCGGCGCATGAGAAAAAAAATTACCCGATGACATCTGTAGCCGCATTAATTATAGATCGGTTGTCTCTCTGTCTTGAGATAGAAGTTATTTAATTTATACAAGTGCATTATGCGTCGCTTAATAAGGCTGCTATTGGCAAAGAAACATTAAGTGACTTTTCCCGCGGCAGCGAAAAGAGAGACTTGGACAAGAGATGTCATGAGAAGCTCTGGAAAAATATTTGAGAGACTCCGCGTGTTTATTTAAATGAAATAATTATCGAGAATAATTATCGTGGATCTGGAGCGCGACGAGAGAGACGTTTTCCTAGCGCAACAGTTGTGTCAACATTGCACATCACTTTACTAATGTGCTTATGATCATTAAACAAATGTCGATTATTAAAAATTATTAAGAATTGAAGTTTTAATCTTATTTTGGCATTATAATGGTTTTATTTTAGCAGAAATAAAACTTCATTAAAGTATGGCATATTATTTAATATTGAAATTTTTAACTATAAATTTTACAACGAAGTTTTATGTTAATATAAAATAAAATTTGTAATTTACATGATAAATTTACATAAATTGCACTTAACTCTAAATTTAAATCTTTTTTGTCTGTATAATAATTCTTCTGTTTTAATTAATCGCAAATTATTCGAATCTATATTCTTTCTATAGACTAGCCAATAGTCTTTTAGAAACGATAAAAATAGATTGCAAAAAACGTATTCTCCGAAGCGACACAAGTGTTCTTGAGATCTGGCAAAAACCAGGCGCGCATGTCGTTTTCATTAGCTTACGAAATCTGCAATTCGCTATGATTAAGATCGTGCTACCTTGCGTTGGTGACATTCGTTTTTTTCTTCTTCGTCATCTTAGAATTGTCCAACAGATGGATATTACGTTAATTTTTCTTTCTATTTTTATAAAACCGAACATGATATTAACGTCGTAGATTCTACGTTTCACATTGTAATTAGAGTTTTAATGAGAATTATCTAACTTAATCTGAATCTAAATTTTCTCCTCTGATCAAATTTAATTGTAAATTGAGTTTTCACAAATGTCGTTCAGTTTTAATTAAAATTGAAATTAGTAACAAAAATTTGATTAGCCAATAATACTAATGTATCTAGAAAAAATTAAAATCTTACACTAATAATATCGATGATTAATGATATCGATTCTATTCGACGAATTTGAACTTTCCGAGAGAGAAGCTCGAACATAATAAGAAACAGAACAGCTCGCGAAACAAGTGAGTTTGCGCAAACGATATTATTAAAATCTCTCTTCGTGTACTTGCGGTTTGGCCATTCCTCATCCTTGCACTCTATCTTTTTTCGCGAGCCGGCTAAGGATGACGGTATAAAAGAAAAAAAAAGAAGAATATCGGGCCGTGAGGGAGGAAGATTGAAGGCTGAAACGAAAGAGCGAGGAAAGAGAGAGAAAGAGAGAGAGAGAGAGAGAGAGAGAGAGAAAGAGAGAGAGAAAACCAGGGAAGGTAGATGCAGATGTGCAAAGTCACAGTCGATCCTGTTCTGAATGCAAATCACACGCATCTCGTCCCGCATTATACGCAAATGCGCGTCTCTTCAATATGC